CTCAAAAAGAAAATTTTCCGAAAACTAAAAAAAACAAGCTTTTCTCAAGATTTTTATTATCGAAAAGTTTTGAGACAGAGATCTCCCTCATTTTAGGTAAGATAATCAAGGAAACGAAAGGAAAAAGTTTTTAATTTATAAGAAAGATATTTGTTGAAAATCCTTTGATAAGGTGAGAGGAAAATTGTTTTGCTTATAATTGGATGTTTCTCTCTCAATCCTAATAAGAGTCCTAAAAAAATCTAACCACTAGGGTCTTTCAAACGGTCTTCATGATCCTTGAATTGTAGGACTTGCCTTGGTTCATTTATCTTTCCATATATAGTAACTGCATAAAATATTATTAGCCACAAATAACATAATTTAAATTTATTTGTCTGTTTGTTTTAATCATCAAAATTTTAATCATCAAAATCTCGAGATAAATATTTGACCCTTGAGCCAACACCACTTTCCTTCAGTAAGTCATACTTCCTTTGAGATAAGAAGATGCCTCTCTTACACCTAGACATTTCAATACCCAAGAAATACTTTAACAATTCTAAGTCTTTTGTCTAGAACTGAGCCTATAGAAATGACTTGAGTGATGTAATGCCCGCTGAATCACTACCTATAATAACAATGTCATCAACATAAACTACAAATAGAATCAAACCAGTCTTAGTACTTCTGAAAAATACATAATGATCAAAAGTACTCTTCTGCATGCCAAATTGGTGTACCACATTGCAAAATCTACCAAACCAAACTCGAGGACTCTATTTTAGGCCATAAAGAGAACCAAGCTCGAGGACTCTGTTTAAGGCCATAAAGAGATTTTCGAAGTTTACACAATTTACCCAACTCCCCCTGAGCAACAAAGCCTGATAGTTGCTCCATGTAAACTTCCTCCTGAAGATCCCCATGAAGAAAGGCATTCTTAACATCCAGCTAATGTAAAGGCATGTCAAAAATAGCTACTAAAGAAATAAACAAACGAACAGAAGACAATTTGGCTACAAGAGAAAAAGCATCAGAGTAATTAAGGCCATCAATCTGAGAATAGCCCTTAGCAACTAATCGAGCCCTGAGACAAGCAACAGACCCATCATGATTCATTTTAACAGTGAAAATCCACTTACAACCAATAGCTTTTTTACCTGCCGAGAGAGACACAAGATCCCAAGTACCATTAGTATCTAAGGCAGCCATCTCCTCTTTCATTGCTGCGCACACCAACCAGGATGGGACAAAGCTTGGACAATAGTTTTAGGTGTAGAGACAGAGTTTAGGTTACTTACAAAACAACAAGATGAAGAAGAAAAATGATCACAACGATAAAAGAAGAAATAGTATAGGTACACTTGCATTTACTTTTTCAAAGAGCAATGGGAAGGTCAAGGTCTAACTGAGGAGTGGATGGCACATGCACAGGTTGAGTGGAGGGAGTCAGATCTTCTATTAAAGCTGCAGGTTGGGGAAGTGAGTCAAGAGTTCCCGATCTCCTGGAATAAGGGCCAGCGCAAATGCTGGTCCAGGAGGGGGAATAGGAGCAGCAGACGCTGTAGCAAGAGCAGGTGCAAGTTCAGGAATAGGAGCAGGAGCAGGAGAGCTAGGAAATTGCTGGATAGCGTAAACTAAAAGCTCATCATCCTCCCCTCACTCTTATATATAGAAGAAGGAGAAAATGGAGTATTCTCAAAAGATGTGACATCTACAGAAATAAGATAACGGTCAAATCGGGAGAGAAACAACGATACCCCTTTTGATGCCGAGAATACCTAAGGAAAACACAACGAAGGGACTTTGGATCTAATTTGGAAACCCGTGGACAAACATCACAAACAAAACAAATACAACCAAAAATATGAGGTTTAATGGGGAATAGAAACTTAGAAGGAAATAAGACACTATAAGGAATTGCACCATTAAGCACAGAAGAAGGCATACGATTAATCAAAAAACATGTTGTAGAGACAGCATCCGCCCAAAAATGTTTAGGAACCTTCATTTGGAATAGAAGTGCCCTACAGCATCCGCCCAAAAATGTTTAGGAACCTTCATTTGGAATAGAAGTGCCCTAGCAACCTCAAGAAGATGTCGATTTTTTCTTTATGCGACCCCATTTTGAGAAGGAGCATCAACACAAGATGTTTGATGAAGAATATCATTCTGTGACATATAAGATTAAAAGGAACTAGATAGATATTCTTTAGCATTATCAATTTGCAATATGCGAACAGAGGTATTAAAATGAGTTTTAATCTCAGCACAAAAGGAATAGAAAATAGAGAATATCTCAGAACGAGTTTTCATTAAAAATAACCAAATAACACGAGAATAATCATCCACAAAAGTTACAAAATACCGAAAGCCAGTTTTAAAAATAACAGGACATGGACCCCAAACATCAGAATGAACTAACTCAAAAGGGAAAAGGGGATGAAGCCCATTTATTGGCTCGAGGAACTAAAGGTAAATGATGATGTTTGGCAAATGGACAAGATTCATGTTCTAAAATTGATAGAGACTAAAACTGCGAACACAAGTTCTTTAAAGTAGATAATGAAGGATGACCCAAACGACAATGAACCTCAAGAGGAAATAGAGCACCAGCACAAGCCAGAGATAACGAAACTTGTTCTTCCAGAAGATAAAGGCCACCAGACTCATGTCCTCTACCAATAATCCGCTTCGTCAAAAGATCCTGAAACACACAATAGGTAGGATAAAATTTACACAATAGGTAGGATAAAATTTAACACAACAATTCATTAGACGAGTAATTTTGCTAACAGATAATAGATTGAACAAAAAATGAGGCAAACAAAAAACAGAAGAGAACGGAAGAGATGGGATGAGATTGGCTGTGCCAATGCACTTGATAGAAGATTTGAACCCATCAGCTAGAGTAACATGATGATTAAATTGTTCAGGTTCTTTTAATGAGGATAAGAGACTAGGGTTACCTGTCATGTGATCTGTGCAACCAGAATCTTGCAACAGAATCAATTACCTACCCTGATGAGTTAGACATAAGATAATATAGTAGGAGTTAACCCTGACACTTGGCAGCAATAGCAATGAGGAATCAGTAGAATTAGAAGAATGGTATCTAGAGGGTATCTAGAGAGCTCAGCATACTCCGCAGCAAAAATTATTACAGTGTTGTCAGAAGATGTAACTGCAGAATCTTGAGTGGCCATATTTGCCCTTGGCAGCTTATTTATCAATTTCTTGCAATACCGTTTAGTGTGACCAAGTTCATGGCAATAATGGCAGATAAGAGTGCTTGCCTCCCGATTAATTGCTCCATTACTACGGTTATTTCCTCCTCTTCCTTTGTTTCCTGGCTGGCTAACTATTTGATTACGACTCATAAGGGCACTATTATCATAAGGGGAAGGGGTATGAGAACCTTCAGTACTTAGTAATCTAGCGAAAGTTTCAAGAAGAGAGGTAACGTCACTGCCTAAAAGAACCTGTGATTTGGCAGTTTAAAAAACTGGAGCAAGACCTACAAGAAAACTCATTACGGCCATTTGTTCTCGCTGAGTCTGTTGAACCTTAACATCGGGGCTAAAAGCCAATAAAACATTAAGTTCCTCGTAAATCTTCTGAAATTCCACGAAATAAGCTGTATGGGGCTTATCTTGCTAGTTGGCCTGATAAAATACTTTGCAAACCTCATACATATGAGACAGATTATCTTTTTCCCGAATACAAGAATTCAAGATATTCCATTAATTCTTTAACAAACTCATAATGATTAACTAACCCAACCACTTCACTGTCAATAGAATTTCGAATAAGTAGAAATAACTTAGCATCTTCCCTTAGCTAACTTTGTCTAGTGTCACCATTTGGTGGATCATCCATTAGATGATCATCTTTTTCAACACTCCTCAAATAAATTCTAATTGTCTTACTCCAATCTAAATAATTAGTTCCTTTCAATTTATATTCTATGATTTTATTCATTGCTTTTTATTCAATTGCTGGATCGTCTTACTCCAATCTAAATAATTAGTTCCTTTCAATTTATATTCTATGATTTTATTCATTGCTGGGATCAATTCAGTAATAGTAGCTTTAGAATTTGCAGGTGCTGTATCCATTAACAAAAACTAAACACCGCAACAACAACTCAAAACAGAGGCACCAAATAATCGCACGAACCAAAAAGAACAGTAGCAACACCAAAAGGAACCGAAAGCTACAAACAGCAGTAGTAAAAAATAAAGAAAGCGCCTGCCAGATGTTGCCAGAGCAGAAAAACTACCCACTGGAAATGACTCCTGATGCTGAGTCGATCCTAGATGATGAAAACCTGTCGTCGAAAACTGCTGGACGCACCACCATGTGCCGGCGCGTGATACCCACTCACCTGTCTTCAGGCCACCGAATTTGGTGGAGAGGCCACCGGTCCTTAGGTGGCGATGAGACAAATGCACAAGCCTAGGTGGGAGACCTAGACTGACAGTCACGAAACAGTGAGCTTCTCACCGGAAGCGTCAACGCAGAAATGAAAAAAAACACTAACGAGCCAAAGGCTCTGATACCATGTAATATAATTTAATGTGGAAAAGATACTCTCCTCTTATTTTCATTAATAGGGACACATATATATACATACACAGGATACTATAAATCTATTAGGGATCTAACTCCTAACAGAACTCTATTTACAACTAGTCCTTAACACTTCTCATGAATTTATTTTGACATTTAAAAATTTTTATTAAAGTTTATATTAGGGTATTTTTGTCTTTTCTTAGCAATTTAACAATAAATTTCATAAAAAAAATGACAGAAGGACTAAAATATTTAATGGATAAAAACTTAGGGATGCAATCATATATTTTACAATAAATAGAGACTGAACAGTGTATTTAACCAATATACAGGGACGAAATGTTAATTTTCTCTTAAAAATTTCAAACCATGAAACCAAACCGGAGGGTTGAATGAGCGGCCATGCCTACCTCTTCCAGTGCTAGAGTAAATTCAAAAATTATTTAATTAAAAAATACATATCCGCAATGGAAGTGAGACGCTTGAAAACACCCGCGTAGCCGTTGATTATAACAGCCACTGGATAAGAGAGAGAGACATCCTGCACATAGCGCATTTTGCCAGCCAGAGCGTGTGTTGTGAAGACGACGATGGCTTCTTTAACCTCTGCTTTCACCACCACTAACGTTCCTTCTCTTCATAGATCAAGCTCCCATTCTCAACCTCGTCTAATTCCCAAAGCTTCTCTCCATCACCAACGCCACTTGAATCGTAGACAATTCTTATCCCAATCAGCTACTGTTTCACTACCCTTACTAGTCCCTCCTCTAATCGACCAATCCGCAATTGCTGCCGAAGAGTCCCTTTCCGAATGGGAGAGAGTCTATCTACCCATTGATCCTGGCGTCGTCCTCCTTGATATCGCCTTCGTCCCTGATGACATGAACCACGGTCACTTTACTTTTCTTACTTTTTCCTCTTCTTCTTTTGTGAAAATGCAGTAAAGGTGAACGAAATTTGTTTTTCACGTGTAGGTTTCGTTCTGGGAACTAGACAAACCATTTTGGAGACTAAAGATGGTGGGAACACTTGGGTTTCGCGTTCAATTCCCTCCGCGGAAGATGAGGACTTTAATTACAGGTTCAATTCCATCAGTTTCAAAGGGAAAGAGGGATGGATTGTTGGAAAACCTGCAATTTTGTTGTACACCTCGGATTCTGGAGAAACCTGGCAAAGGATACCTCTCAGTGCTCAACTTCCTGGAGATATGGTAACCTTACCATACCTGTCCTCGTTGTTCTATTTCATTTTATTTTATCTTTTTTGGCTAGTTTATTGATAAAGGATGCTGAAACCTAACAGTAGTTGCATCTTTTTTTTTTTTTTTTTTTTTTTTTTTTTTTTTTTTTTTTTTTTTTTTTTTTTTTTTTTTTTTTTTTTTTTTTTTTTTTTTTTTTTTTTTTTTTTCTTTTTACGATATATATAGGTGTATATAAAGGCAACTGGAGACAAAAGTGCAGAGATGGTGACCGACGAAGGTGCTATATATGTCACCTCAAATGGAGGGTATAACTGGAGGGCTGCTGTTCAGGAGACTGTTTCCGCAACTCTTAATAGGTAGGTATGCTTCTGCTAAAATTCTAATCTATACTGGTGGATTGGAAAATTCAAGACATGTTTAATTAGTGTGATTTTTGTAATTGTTGAGTTTTATATGGTAGAATAATGGTTGATCCCATTTTAATGAATTTACCAGTCTTTCTCTATAGCCAACAGGCTTGATCAGCTGTCCAACAACTTGATAATAATGTGGAGATAGAATCTCCACAATCTAGTTACCGTCAGCCAATGTCTTAGATAATAAGATAATATTATTTCAGTTTTTTCCTATTTAGGCTTAATCCTTTCACGATTATTGGTATAAAGGCAAACACATCACAGGTGGCGGTCTGATGCCATATTATGAAATGAATGGGGCTTGACTTACTTCTCAAAAGCTGTCTAGATGACCTTTTTTGGCTTTTTTTTTTTTAGCATGACAAATTTTTTTGTTTGGCCAAGTATTTTTCTGGTTTTGTCGGACAAATGCCTCTCTGTTTTATGTGCCTCTATGCTTGTACTAGCTACAGAGGTTCCGCTTTTGGCTATGCGTCTCAGATGAGCTACTTTAAGCTCATTAATTGGCTTTATGCCATGAATGAGCTGCTTAATTTCGGGCAAAGAGTTTCGCTCCTTGGGTGACATAGAAGCTCAGGCAAAGGGTTTTGCCTTGGGCAAGCTACTTAAGCTCGAATAATTCGGGTGAGCTGCTGAAACGATATCAGCCTTTTCGTGACTCTGTCTAGCAAATGATTATTTTTTTTTTTTTTTTTCACTCGGGAGTTCTATCACTTCACTTGACAAAGACTAAAATAGTGCAAATTCAGTCAAAGATGCTAGACTTTTCAAGCTTGTATTGCCACCAAATATTTGCTTGGTGTCATCATCATAATTGAATTGACCCCTTAAGGCAATGAAAAATAATCAAAAGGTGGCAATGCTGATATCTTTCAAGCTGTCCGCTTCTCTTTATGTATTAGTTGCTCCTTCACCAATAATATCTAAAGATCAAGATAGAGGTGCACAAGAACGCAACAGGAACCAAAAGAGACCAGAAGAGGGAGACTCTGAGGAGAAGAAGAAAGAAGAAGATTTGGGTAGAATAATGGACTTTGATTTTTTTTTTTTTTTTTTTTTTTTAGGACTTTGATTTTTTTTTTTTTTTTTTTTTTTTTTTAAGTTTTTCGCTTAATTGATCATTGAAGCAGTAGTTTTTGTTTTATCTGGTTTGATCGGTTGATGGATTTTAGGCAGGCTGATGTGAGGTTGGGTTAATTTTTGATTTGATGGATAAAGGAGAAAGCAAGTTACTGATTTGGAACATAGACTGAAGACTGGAAGGCCATGTCCTTGCTCACCTTACCAATTGATGGATTGAAAATCCAAAACATGTTTAATTAGTCTGGTTTTTGTAATTGATTGATTTTTCTATGGGAGAATAATGGTTGATCCTCCTTTTGATGAATTTAGCAGTCCTTTTTTAGAGCCAACAGGCTTGATTAGCTGTTCAAAAACTTGCTAAGATTATGGAGATTTTACCTCTAAAACCTAGTTATCGTTAGGCAATATCTTAGATAATAGGATAATATCATTACAATCCTTTCCTATTTAAACTTGATCCTTTCACAATTATCCTTAGGTCTTTGATGTATTATTTATTCTATCATATACATTGTATGAAATACCTGAATTTTAGGTTGAAAAATTAAACTTTAAAAATTCTGATTCATTGAAGATAAAAGATTAATTTGTGGTTCATTTTGTAGTCTGCGTCCAATCTACAGCCATACCTTGTAATTGAATATTTTTTATTGCTTGCATTTATTCATTTTGGTTTCCATTTCCTTTATAGGAATCTATTATTAATGCTTATGTCAAAGTTAATATGACGGTCTATAAGATGATTACTTCCTGTGTGTTTAATGTGTCTAAATACTTTATTTGATGGGCTTGCATTCCTCAATAGTCTAGTTTTTTTCTTTTAGACCACTGATTTGAACCTGAGGAACTTGCTCTTGTCTTGTTCTGGGTAATGTTTTAGGGTTGAGCATTATATCAAACTCTTACTGAGCTGAAGTCTTGTGAGATCAGTTTAGTTGAATGTTTTTTAATCACAAACAGGTTAGATGTTCACTTAGCTTCATTGTTGTTGCAGAACAGTTTCTAGTGGCATTAGTGGTGCAAGTTACTATACCGGGACTTTTAATACTGTTAATCGCTCTCCAGATGGAAACTATGTTGCTGTCTCAAGTCGTGGCAACTTCTATTTGACATGGGAACCTGGCCAGGTGAAGTTCCCTTCTTTTTTTTTTTTTTTTTCCCTTTATTCTTTTTTTTTTTTTTTTTCCCTTATTCTTGTTTGCCTTTTTTTTTTTTTTTTTTCCCTTTATTCTTGTTTGCCTGCATTTTCATTATTTGCTCTAACTTTAGGTTTCATGAGGCGCAAAGGCTCTTAACCTCATGTTTGGACCCATAACAAAAGATACTTTACACTATTTAAAATTTGAAGCAAAATATATAAGTCACTAACTAAATATTTATGTTACTGTTAATTTGCACATTAAGGCTGAGCTTAATGTGGCAAGTTGATGAATTTTGTCACGTTACACTGAAGGGTTGAGGGGTGCTTGTGGGCTTTGTTGAAGATGAGGACTTGATAGCTTTTAATGGTTCTTTGAAAAAGGAAATGACAAGAAAATCCTCTTTGAACGAATTTGATTGCACATTACTGAAAATAGCTAGCAATTTATATAACTGACAACAGTTTACGGTGATATAGCAAATTGGTGAATTTGATTGCATATTTCTACCAAGAGCCTTCTTCTGTCTCTTCTTTTTTGAAAATAAAAGCCAATTTTTTAGGTATTGAACACTTAAGGCAACTAAATCTTGTAAATCTGAAGGACTCAAGCACGGTATCAGGTAGGATATATCTGAATGATCTGTAAGCAATGCACCATTCCACCATCAAAAGGACTTAAGGTGGTTGGGATACTGTTCTAGGCTCCATCGTTACTTTTTATTTTTTATTTTTTTTGGGTACAACTGCATGGCATGACATCTGCCTTGGAACCAAGGAGAGAATTATCTTTCCTTTGTGCCATGTAAAAGTTGCTCCGTTGTGACTGGAAGTCATGAGCTGAAACTATGGGACTTTTTTCATGGAATGTAAGGGGAAGACTGCATACATCATACCCTTTCCGGTTCCTACAGTGCAGAAACGTTTTGCTGTGGGACAACTTTTAGTTGGCCTAAAGAGATCCAAATTAATCTTTTCCTGTTGCACAATAGGGAATTGAAGTCTATTCTTCTTCTTGAATTTATTTTATTCTAGAAGGATGAGATTGGATTGTGGGTAAGGTTATCATTGTTGGCCTCTAAAAATAAGAAATATGAAAGCTTTTGTGGACTTTAGCAATCATGTGAGAATCAACAGTCTTACTCTTGGAAGAAGATTATCGTCTAGGATTTTGGTGGATTTTAATAAATTTTATAGTCCACAGTCTCTGGACTATATGTTTCTTCCTTATTATTTGTTGCAGGGAAGATGGTAAACTTTGTGGTGGTTCGCTCATGCCATCAGTAACATAGAAGTTGGCGAGGTGGAAAGGGTAATTTCAGAAGCATAATAATGTAGTATGTAGAAAACACCTGTTCTAAAGCACTAGCGAAGCTACATTAAAAAGGGGGTAGGCAATTGTCCCCCTCTCTTTGAAAAAAATATATTTTCAAAGCAAGTTCTAGGTTGGAACTCAAGACCTATAGTTTCAACATTCTGAAGTATCAAAACTGCACTTACAACAAATATGACATTGTAGAGAATCGGGTTCATTTTTCTCTTCTTTCTCCCCATTTTCGCTTGCATCCAACAAGTTATTCTGAATATGCTCTGTACTTGGAGGTACCACTTTGTGTTGTTTCCATTTCAACTTATTTGCTATCAAGAAATGTAGACCAGTCAAATTTTGATCTTATAGAATGATGATAATCTGGGACTTTGCACAAATTGCGACTTCAAGTAAAATCAGTCTTGTAAACTGAACTCTGTCGGTACAAATATTGAGGGTCTATTTACCTGTGCAATATGATGAGTTGGGTGATTTAATGACAGCAGGCTAATTGAATTATGTAATTTTATAAATGCCGCTTGTGCGCAATGACAATGTTCTTTTATATCCAATCTTCCCCTTTCATTAGTTCTGTTGGCTGATTATATATATCTTGTGCGGCATATTTGAACAATGTTCTTTTATATCCAAATCTTCCCTTTCCATTAGTTTCTGTTGGCTGATTATATATATATATAATAATATATATACTATATAATATATTATATACTATATTGTATATATATTGACATGGATGTACCGTGATTTCAACTGTGAATAAATGCCTTTCACTATTTGCAGCCATTCTGGCAGCCACATAATAGAGCAGTTGCAAGGAGAATTCAGAACATGGGATGGAGAGCTGATGGTGGTCTTTGGCTTCTCGTCCGTGGAGGGGGACTTTATCTCAGTAAAGGCACTGGAGTAAGTAAATTTGGGGATGTCTCTTCTTTTGAGCTCAGTATTTTATACTAAGCTAGCATGAAGAAGTATCATTTTGGATATTGTTATTGGTCTATTTGATTGAAAATTGGTCGCATCTCACAGACTGCAAGTATACGGGTCGTGCAAGTAATATAGAAAAGTATCGATCCCACAGGGACCGCGTTGTTGAGTACTAAAGTATCTAGGTTATAATTATCTAGAATTTAAAATGGGTTTATAAATAAAATAAAGTAACTATTAACTATAGTGCAGGAAACACAAGGACAATTGATAAATTAAAAGAACTGATCTCCACCTTCTTAGCTACATAACAGAAAACAATAATACTAAATAAAACTACTCTAAATGCAGAAACTCCCTAACGCAAGCTTTTGTGGATTAGAGGCAAGAATCACTGAGAATTTACTGATTCGAAAAGGAAATGAATAATAAAATAATTAAGCTGAAAAATGCAGATTTTTATGAGAACACATATCTAGAAAAAAAAAAAAAAAAAAAAAAACACATATCTAGAAAAAAAAAAAAAAAAAAAAAAAAGGAATTTGTTATCAGAAAAATGAAAAAGAAAATGGGATTTAAAAAAAAAAAAAAAAAAAAAAAAGGATTTGTTATCAGAAAATGAAAAAGAAAATGGATTACAAAAGAAGCCCCAACATTCTTTCTGCAAATGAAATGGACAAAAAAAATTGATGATTTTTTAAGAAACAAAGAAGAATTACTAGGTTCCATTCTTTAGTAGAACAGAAAATGATACTGGGGGGAGGGGAAACAGAAAAAGTGAAAGCATATGTTACAAAAGGGAAAACCATGAAAATTTTCCTCTATTATTGAGAACATACTCACTTCAGATATTGTTTGTGTAAAACTAGACTAATCTGTGAAAACAACATATGGAATATGCACTAGCATGACCTGTGGCTTGCAACTTGTGCTCTCTTCTCTTTCACTATGTGGGTCATGACTTTTCTTGATGAAGAGTTTTGTAGTGCTTGTTTTACCTAAACAAGACGAGGAGGTTGCTGAATATGCTGATTAAAAGAATTGAAAAATCAACAATAACAGTAACAATGACTTGTACTTATAGACAAGTCTTTATTGTCTAAAAGTTTATACTAAATGATAGCTGAGACCTAAAAAATATGCAAAGCCTGGTGGTGGCTACAAGAGAGAAATGGGCAAAAATGGAGACCAAGGGTTATTTCCTTAATGTAAATTCTGATGCTTAAAAAGTCAAGCCATTAAGGTTTGTTGAGAGAAAATATGAAAATAGTTTAATCAGCTAGATGAATAGTCATAATATGACATAAGAGAGCAAATCCTGAATGCGTGGTTGAAGTAGTATATAGATAGCATTATAGGTTATTACTTTTGATAATGAAGAAAGAGAATGTAGATAGTGTACCAAGATTCTAGAGTGGCTATGTCCATATGGATAGATGTTACTATTAAGAATTTGAGGTAGCAATGCCTTGTTCAGATGGTTAGTTGCTCAAAAGCCCTAATGCAACATGATGATGGAGAAGCTATGGTAGTTCTTTTGTAGCTCATATGCTTTGTTGCTGGAGAATTATATGCTTAACCTAGTGATTAGAGAATAGCTATCAGGTTGCGTCTAGCTTTAGGCTAATTGTGCCATGTTTATTTCTACTTAGTATGAGCAACATATTTCTCACTGTTCATACTAACAAAATCTTAACGAATCAAAGATTACAATTAGATGTGTAATTCTATGTAAACATATTGTATCAACATAAATTAATCATACACATATTTTTTGGGGTTAAAAACTAAAAGCTTCCGAATTTTTCCTTCTTTCGAATAGCCAAACCTAGTTCAATTGCATTTTATGACTTATGATCTTAAAGTTGATTATCTACACAACCTTTTAAAATGGAGTTAATTGTAGTCAAATTATGGAAGACGTGTTAAAACTCTAAAAACTACATTGTGACATTGATTTCATAAGAAAAAATTTAGGTGTTAGCACTTGTTATTGCAGATTTAAGCGGGAAACGTCACAAAAAATAGTTAATTGTATTTTTAAATTATAAACAATTATTTAACAGTTAAAGCTTATATATATTCATTATGCCTTCTTTCACTACCTCTCTATCTCTCCTTTTAAATGTGCTCATGTGAAATTTTTATCAATAAATACATGTCATTTCAAAGATTTGGGGTTTTAGCACATGTCCTTCCAGGTTTGCTATCTAAATACCTACTTAGTTTCTTGGGTTCTTATTTTGCATCAATAACTTGTAGTAGATATTGTGTTCCTTTGTCCAAAGGAACTTTAGAGACTTTGCTTGATATGCTCGCTTATTATAACACTCAACATTGATATTGTGATGTTTCCATTGAGTGCATGTTTTTCTGGAGTTAATAATACACGGATATGCTGTGAAATTGCTGCTTTTATTTTTTCTTTTCCATTAAAATGTTTTTGGTGTTATATTTTCTTCGTTAACAAATTTTGTTGTACACTTGTTTATATTCTCCTATTTATTTAGTTGGAAGATGCATTTTTCTTTTCATGTCATGTTCTTAAACACTCTTGTCCCTTGGTTTCAGTTGTTGCACCAATCTTTTGCTTTTTTTTTTTTTTTTTTTTTTTTTATTGTCACGTTCCTTTACAATTCTTAACACTTCTCTTCGTTCCCCCTCCGTCGGTTTGTAGTTGTTTCGACATATTACGAACAATACGCCGAGAATACAAAATTATAGCATTATGTGGTTATAGTCTCATATATATTATATCTATATAATTATTGTAATATTTTGGGAGGTAATAACCCTATTAATTTTTTTACATGTTCGCTGTAATTCATGACGACTAGGGTACTCTCAGGAGTATTAATAGTAGCTATGACTTATCATGATATACTTTTTTTTTTTTTTTTTTTTTTTTGGACTTCCTTTTTTTTTTTCCCCTATTGTTCTTGTAATTAGTATTTCATGTCTTAGATAACTGAGGATTTTGAAGAAGTTCAAGTGCAAAGTCGAGGGTTTGGCATTCTTGATGTTGGGTACCGTTCAAAGGTAAAAAAGTTTTCAATAAAAGAGCAATATGTTATTTCCTTTCTTACGCTTGGCTTTGGCATATTGATTAGGCAGAGTTATATATGTTGAATTACATATCAAGTGTCCCAACTAGTACAAGGAAACCACTTGATTTCTACAGCTACATATGCACCATGCATATGCCACCTACTTACCATATCCATAGTATTTATCTGTATAGATGCATTTTTTTCTTTTTGGCATCTTTTAAAATGGCAATCATTGCAAATGTGAACTATGGTGGACAATAGTATCATAAACTGTCGAGAATCATAAGTAATTTGTTTATACAACAAAGAAAGTAGAAATCAACATTAACATTTTCGCATGAATCTTAATTAGGATCTTTTGGTTTTCATGTTGATCATCTAATCACCTATTCATAATGTAAATTTAAATTAATGCCATATTAAAGCAATTAGGGGTGGAGCAAATGTACAAATGAGTGAGATCAGTTGACTTCACTGGACTTGTGAAAGTCTCAAGAAAATACCTAGGCCTAATACCTAAAATCACCAACTATTTTTCACACTTTTCAATAATATACCCAATGCTTTTAGTTGTGTCGATTTACCCTAGTTTGAAAACATAGTTGTAATTCTACTCAAGGTGAGAATTAAAAGAAAAATAATGTCATTTTATTATTGATTAGAAGTCAAAATGGTAAAACCCGCCCTTAAATTTATCATATTATATTTTCAATCTACTTTATTAGTTTCATATTGAATTCATTGGACCCTGCAACTTTATGAAATTGTTTAGTTGAGTCCTTAAATTGAATAATGTTATTTTACTAAATTGGCAATGTTGGAAGAACTCTAATTGAAATTTTGACTTTTGGAAGAAACTTTTGGTAATTGACCCAAATAAAATATTACCACAAAACATCTACCAATTTTGCATTTGATTTAAAATATATAAAAGGGTTTCAAATTTGTAGATGTTGTCGTTTTATGACTAATTTATAAAGTTTTATCTTCAATGTTGTAAGTTGTACGTAAAGGCTTGCTATCACAAAAGGACTAGGTGAGATGAGAAGGGGGTGTAAGAAGGACAGAAGTATACTTGCTATGTTGAGACTAATGTTTATAACTTCAATACACCAAAAGAAAATCTACTAACATCTTGGTTATTCATAAATCATTATTTGTGGTCATTAAGCTAGTAGCCTACTAAAAATTTGTATTTTGTGCAATCATAATCTAATTTATGGTTCATTAACTTATTCAAACTTTTATGATTTAAAAGTTTAATGTGTGTGTGTGTGTGTGTGTGTTTGTATATATATATATATATATATATACACACACTTGTGCATCTGTTACAATCGTGAACTTAATAAACAGTGATTCCGTTAGAACAAATACTTATTTCCACCACTAAGAACAATTTTGGAAAGGAAACTAACAATTTTTTTCATTGAATGTCAATTGTATAATAGAATGTTCTTTTTATGTTTCCTCTATCTCATCTAGTAATTCTACTAACATTTAGTGGATACCTTGATCATTTGTCCAAAATAAATGAATTGTTAAATTTAAAAAGCCTTGCTTCTCTTGCCTAGTTTTGTCTATTTTTATGTTGCACACAAAAATTGTTTTCATCATGCAGGATGAGGCTTGGGCAGCCGGGGGTAGTGGTATTCTGTTAAGAACTACCAATGGTGGCAAAACATGGGTCCGTGACAAAGCTGCTGATAATATTGCTGCAAATCTTTATTCAGTGAAGTAAGCCTTAATCCTATTAAAAGCTGAAGTATGTTTTTTGCTCAATTTATTAACAACCTTACACATGTGAAGTATGTTTCACTATGGACATTTATACCTCTACTTGCTATACCCTCCTCTGCTTATAATATTTTATTCCTTTGGTGTGAAATGCACTTTACCAAGCAAGAAAGGGACAACCAGTGAACAAATTCCAGCACTACTGACAAGTGGTTTGTGAAATGTAAAGAATAAGATAGCCCAGAGTAAACTATTACCTTCTGTAGCATTTTGCTTTGTGAAATGTAAAGAATAAGATACCCCAGAGCTTTTATATCTAGAAAATAAAGAAAGGGTATCTTTTTAAGGTCGTGGAAAGCCTTTACAGTTTCAATCAAATATACTTTATGTAACAGTGTGAACTATACCACAAACCTTTAACTGGCCAATGAGCCTTACACTTCAGAGCTAGGTGCATCCAGAAGCCAATGGTCATTCTTGTGATATTTCTTTTGCAGGTTTATCAATGATAAAAAGGGATTTGTATTGGGAAATGACGGAGTCTTGCTTCGTTATCTTGGATAGAACCGCAGATTTGAACGGTAATTGGTAAGGTTTGCTTTCTCCCCAATAAAATGTTCATGTATTTTCCCTCTGCTAAGAAATCCACGAACAATGTGCAAAGACTCTATTATTATTATTATTATTATTACTTTTATGAATTTTGTTCAATAAATATTGAGGAAAACATTTTTCATTATTATTTGTTATGGTATCAAATTTAGGAACTTGTTATTAAAAAGTTCAAATTAAATTAACCAATTCTCATGTGTGCAGCTTTTATCATTAGTGCTGCAATTTTGTAACCCTTTTTGGTAGAGGAACAAAGCTCCGTGTACGTTGCGGATGTATTCTTTATGTTATTATGGACGTGCTTCTGTGGTTGCTGATAGGAAGTGTTATTCATCATGGAAAAGTCTGCGGATTGATTTTTTTTTTCTTCTGATTACTATATTAGTTATAAAAGTTGGACTTGCTGTAATTAGCAAAGATACTTCCAGTTTCATTCATGATTCCTTAGTGTACCAAATACTTGTAATTAAATGTCTCTCAACTAAATATGAGAAATCCATTCTCAAGACGCTTATACGTGTTGTGTGCGTGTGTTTGGATTCTAAATTTACTTCAATCGCGATCTGGTTTAAGAAAAAGTAAAAGTTTGGTATCGCACACCCCTAATCATAGTTGGCACGCTTTTTAATGAAGTTTTGTGAAATTACTAGCTTATATTTCCATTTTAGCATTTTCTTAAGAAGAAAAGTAGCAATATTATTAATCATAAGGAGCAGAATTAGCCATTTGTATTATTGCCTGGAAATTATGGTGGTATAGGAACCAGAAGATTTGAAATAATTTGCTGTTGTCCATTGATGAAATATGTCGCCAAATAATTTACTCTTTTCAGGACTGGTAAAGTGCCCAATCTGTGCAATGTACTCGGCCAACTGCTGATGGTGATGGTGCATATAATGGTACAGGTTCTTCATGGTGAACCTTATATGGATTTCTATTCCTCGGCTACGCAGTTTGATCAAGTCGGTCCTTCAACTGATTGTTCTTCCTCATAGGCGTGTCTATATGCCTTCATCAGCTTGGTTTGCATTCATGGATATGTCAGGTTTCGGTGTCTTATTTGAGAGCCAGGAGGGTAATTTCATTTGTGCTATCTCCAGTAGTTTTACTCTTCAAGGTGAAGCTCTTCTTGTTGAAGCCATAGCTTTACGCTCCACTCTCTATTGGATTGTTGATGACATGACAGGTTCAGGTTGAGCATTAATTAGTGATCGTCAAATTCTAGTTTATGCTTTGCATTTTTCTTCCTTGGACCATTCGGATTTTGGAAAAGTTGTAGAAAATTGTAAGCATGTCCTTGGACTTTGTAACAGCCTTCTAGTTCGTGGGGTGAATATGCAAGCTAATGTAAGAGCTTATTGTTTACCTCGAGCATCTTATAAATAGGCTAGCCTAATTGTTTGGAATTTAATTCCTGCAACATTGAAGTCTTTATATAAAATAATATAGTATTTTTTGTTTTAAAAAAAAAAAAAGAAGCAGAATCAACTAATACATAACTGATAATAGGATGAGGAACCTCCTCCATCCAAATTATTTCCTCTAAAACAAAAAAGAAAATTTAGCAAGCTCATGAGCAGCTTAGTTTTTTACTCTAAGAGCATGAAAAATTCTAGTTAAAAGAATCCAACATCTGTAGTCTTATACCATAATCCAGTATCTGGTATTTTTCAAGCATTGCATGCTGCACCATGGATAGAGAATCCGTTTCCAGCGTAGGGAAGAGAGATTGTTGCTTCAATTCTGCATTTTCCGGTGAGAGAGAGACACGAAGAACCTTAGTTCCCAATCCCAGAACATCACAAGCATCATTTCTGAGAACAAAACCCATCCTACAGCTCTAATTGTCCTTAATAGATGCATTATCTTCTCTCAAAACTGATAGGTTGGCCTATTGAAAATCAAAAATATAGTTTAGACCGAGATGCACAGATTTGTTCCTTTGTTAAATGGAGCTACTAAAACTTGACGAGATTCTTGCTTTCCACAAAGCCTAAGCAATCATGGAAAAAATCTCCAGCTGTTGGGTTTTAAAACGAGACGTAATCTTGTCAAACTAATCAACAAAAACCTCAGTTTGCGATTGAGCAGATAATAATCACAAGAGACACGTCTTCACACTCTTTGAGCTAATTAATAACCCTTTAGAATATGAATTGTAGTCTCTAATGCCTCTCAACAAGATATACAAACTAGATCAATATTTAAGCCTCTCTTATCAAGTATGACGAGCTCTCAAAGGAATTGATTGTGTAACCCCCTAGATGCAATGAAAGTCTCGTACCCCCAAGTGTTATGTAAATTAAGTAAATAAGTAATGAAGATAGCAAGAAGTATGCTCATACTACTTTTGATCCTTCAATATTCTGCCAGATGCTGAATCACTTAGATTAGACCACTGTGAGTCTCTTCACTGAAATACTGAAACTTGCTTAATTTTTCTTAGTTCATGTCAATTTACTGTGTATTTCTTTGTAGATCCAGAAATACCCATGGGGCAAGTTGCTGATTTTCCAGACTTTATCTAGGCATCCATGCCCTATCAGCAGAGGAGGCTGCTCCTACCCAATTTCTTCTACGATGTGTACTACCTCAAAGAGAGGATATATGAATAGGAGCTAGGCACTGCATAGAGGAGAGTGTCGGATGGAGTCTCATACTTCATGATGGCGACTTGGGAGATAAAGGGCGAGATGATTGCCACGGCGCGGCGTGGGTACAACAGCTACTGATCATTTGGCTAACTTTGTACCCGGTGCTTATGCGATCTTTGCTCGGACTCAGCTGCTGATATGAGTACCTCCATCTGCTGATGATGAGTCAGCTCCAGAGGAAGAAGCAGCGGCAAAGGATCGGGGGGCTGCCCCTTCCCGCACAAGTATCATTTTCTCTTCTTCTCTATGCTTTGCCTCAGCGTGTCATATAATTGCTTACCATTGGTGCTTTATTATTGCAGCAGCAGTGCGGCAAGTCTGTCAGGAGGGGATCTGACACCGAGGCGCCAGACTCTGCTATTGTCGGTGAGCCAGAGCATGCCCTAGGGGCTTCTTTTACCTTTATTTCTGCACGCACGGGACTGACCGTGCAAGGCATACTAGAGACGCACACAGTGAGTCCATACCGGATGTCTCTGCCTGGTTGCACTCACGTAAGTTTGGTTTCCTTATTTTCAGTCTTTTCTTTATTATTTTTCGTTCCCAACGAATGCCCCTGCCTTGTTCTGCAGGTATCCATTCAGGACCACAACGAGGTATGCCACCTGTGTGCGGCTACAAGGCTCAAGCTTGCTGTGACGTGGCTCTTCGACAAACATATATTTGTAAGTAAAAAAACAAAACAGAAAGAAGATGCAATATGCATGTCATGTATGCCTGTTATGCGATTCTAATGGGCTTAATGTATGCAGACAGCTAGCATGGCGCAAGGAGATTGAGGTCGCGATGCTTGTGTAGGTGGTAGAGCTGGTCATGGCGTCGAACGAAATCACAGATCAGTTGTGATTGGAGAGGCCGATGATGCTGAGAGCGAGGACTCGGAGGAGACTGCCTCGTATATGCATAGAGCGGTTGTGCTTCTATCCTCCTTAATCTTGGGGAATGTTGTTACTCTTGTAAAGAAATTCGAACATTTGTTGTTTATATCAAAGTAATTGTCGATTTTCCATTGCTTCTGAGTTTACATCATGTATGCTTGCTTTATAAATGTTGTTGAAGTGGCTTCTGAGCTTGTAAACTTGAGATTCAGCAAGGATCATATTAAGGAAAATCAATATAGTACATGTATTCCTAGTTAGTTCCTGAGTATATTCCTAATTAGTTTATGATTTGTATTCCTAAATAGCTAGATAGCATAGGAATTCCTTATATATAGACCTATGTAATCGATTGATGAGATACAAGATGGTAAATTTAGTAAAATATAATGAAAGATAGCAAGAAGTATGCTCATCACTACTTTTGATCCTTCAATATTCTGGCCAGATGCTGATCACTTAGATTGACCAACTGTGAGTCTCTTCACTGAAATACTGAAACTTGCTTATTTTTCTTAGTTCATGTCAATTTACTGTGGTATTTCTTTGTAGATCCAGAAATACCATGGGGCAAGGTTGCTGATTTTCCCGAACTTTATCTAGGCATCCATGCCGCTTCAGCAGAAGGTAGGTTGCTCTCTACGCCAATTCTTCTATTGGCGATGGTGTAAACTACCCTCAAAGAGAGGATATAATGAATAGGAGCTAGGCCGATAGAGGGAGAGTGTCGGATGGAGACTCATACTTCCATGATGGCGGACTTGGGAGATAAAGGGCGAGATGATTGCCACGGCGCGGGCGTGGGGTAACACACAGCTACTGATCATTTTGGGCTTAACTTTGACCCGGTGCTTATTGCGAATCTTTGCTGCGGATCTCAGCTCGCTGATATGAGTACCGTCCATCTGCTGATGATGAGTCAGCTTCCAAGAGGAAAGAAGCAGCGGCAAGAGGATCGGGGGGCTTGGGCCCCTTCCCGCACAAGTTATCATTTTCTCTTCTTTCTCTAATGCTTTGCCTCAGCGGGTCATATAATTGCTTTACCAATTGGTGCTTTATTTATTGCAGCAGGCAGTGCGCGGCAAGTCTGTCAGGAGGGGAATCTGACACGAGGCGCCAGACTCTGCTATTGGTCGGTGAGCCAGAGCCTGCCCTAGGGGCTTCTTTTACTTTATTTCTGCACGACGGGAACTGACCGTGCAAGGCATACTAGAGACGCACACAGTGGAGTCCATACCGGATGTCTCTGCCGGGTTGCACTCACGCAAGTTTGGTTTCCTTATTTTCAACAGTCTTTTCTTTATTTTTTTCGTTCCCACGAATGCCCACTGCCTTGTTTCTGCAAGGTATCCATTCAGGACCCACACACGAGTTTATGCCACCTGTGGTGCGGCTAGCAAGCTCAAGCTTGCTGTGACGTGGCTCGTCGACAACATATATTTGTAAGTAAAAAACAAAACAGAAAGAAGATGCAATATGCATGTCCATGTATGCCTGTTTATGCGATTCTAATGGGCTTAATGTATGCCAGACAGCTAAGCATGGCGCAAGGAGATTGAGGTCGCGATGCCTTGTGTAGGTGGTAGAAGCTGGTCATGGCGTCAGAACGAAACACAGATCAGGTTGTGATTGAGAGGCCGATGATGCTGGAGAGCGAGGACTCGAGGAGGACTGCCTGTATATGCTATAGAGCGGTTTGTGCTTCTATCCTCGCTAATCTTGGGGAATGTTGTTACTTCTTGTAAAGAAAATTCCGAACATTTGTTTGTTTATATCAAAGTAATTGTCGATTTTCATTGCTTCTGAGTTTTAACATCATGTATGCTTGCTTTATAATGTTGTTGGAAGTGGCTTCTGAAGCTTGTAAACTTGAGATTCAGCAAGGATCATATTTAAGGAAAATCAATATAGTACATGTATTCCTAGTTAAGTTTCCTGAGTAAATTCCTAATTTAGTTTATGATTTGTATTCCTAAATAGCTAGATAGCATAGGAATTCTTATATATAACCTATGTAATTCGATTGATAGAAATACAAGAAATACACTACAATTATATTCTCTCAAGATGTTATAGAGCCTTCCATTCAAAAAAAAAAAAAAAACCCGAAACTTTCCAGAAGCCATTGCCACCCTAGGAAGCCTTTCTAGGGTTAGTATTTTGTCTCACCACCGACCTCAGGATATTCTCCAGCCGCTGATTAGCGCCTCCCTAGAATCCGTTTGCCGGATTCCAAGTGAATGGCCCCCATGCGTCACCTCTTTCTTCCTGCTCTGGTTCATGCGCTAGCGCATGTCCAGTGGTCTTTTTCACTCCGGTTCCTCTCTCCGGCGTTGACTTGAACAGAGACGTGCAACCCAGTGAGTTGCATTATTATTCTTGGGCTTATTCAATAGGTTTGTTTGCTGCGATTCTGTTGTAGCTGTGTCGGGCAGTGTTCTGCTACTGTTGTTGCTTTCATTTGCTGAGGAAACCTATCTTTTCCTTTATTGTGACAATTGTTTTAGGTAATTTTTGGTGATTTTCTAGTGATTCCTTATTACATTAGGGTTTGGTACTGCACATTTACTGCAGTTATGGTTATTCTGCTTTTGAACCTTCTCCTTTGTCGAGAGCAGTGCAACCCCAGTGAGTTGCATTGTGTTCTTGGCCTTCAATGGTGTGCTCCGTTTGCTAGAGTTTCCTTTGCTGTGTTTCTGAATATCTGCGCTACTGGGCTTCCTCTTTGAGGCATTGATTATGGAAGCTTGAAACAGCCCTATGAGTTTTTTTCTAGTTTAGTGAGATTTGTTTCGACAACCTAAGTGTGTTGTCTCTAGTTTAGTGAGATTTGTTTCGACAACCTAAGTGTGTTGTCTTGATTCTGCTAGTACTATTTGGTTTGGGATTCTTTATTGCTATAATGAAGTGGGTACAGTTTCTGAGTATGGTATTGTGTTTTGCTGAAAGTAGTAATTTGTAACAAGTTGAGCATGATTAACATCTATGCTCCAACTTGAGGGGGAGTATTAAGGAAAATCAATATAGTACACGTATTCCTAATTAGTTCCTAAATATATTCTGTAACATCCCATTTTTCTATGTCTGAAAAAGTAAGTTGTGACATCCTACTGAATCGAGTCGTTGCTTAGAGTCGAGTCGGGCTGATCCAAAACTCGATTCGAGCCATTAGAGTCCAGAGTGGGGGGGTAGAATGGGATGTAACTGAAATAAGGAAAAGAAGTGGACTTAACTGAAGGAAGCAAAAAGGATCAAAGTTATAAGGAATTAGGACTTACTTGCACAAAAGATAAAGGCTTAGGTATTTAAAGTTGTAACATATTGAACACTGCTGAGGTACCATTTGTAATTTTTACACACAAAATTCATTGATATTTTGGAGTCTAGTCTACCGAGACTTCCAATTTCCACTTTCCCATTTTTCAATCTTTATCTTCTTCATCTTCCTTCATCTACTTCCCTTACTTACTTTCAACCTTCCTTTCTCCATCAATTTCAAATAGGAATTCAAGCATTTACAATTCAACTTCTATTCTATCAAGTAGTTAAACTTCTGAATTTCATACTTGAAGTCAGTTTTGGTGATATTTTTTTAGAGTATTCATAAGAATTCTTATGTATAGGGGAGAGGTGAGCTCAAAGGGTAAAAGAAGCTAAGAAGAAGATTCCAAGCTTGTTTAGTGAAGGGTGGGTTTGGCTCTCCTCTCTTTGAGTTTAACTAATTTCCTTGCATGATGCCACTTGTGTGGTGTGCCTGTAATGAGAAAATATGTTGCTTAATGTTGAGTAGGACTGAAAATGGTGAAAAAGCATGAGATGAAAAATGAAATAAATGAAGTAGATATTGAGTTCATGCTGAAACCAGGTTTTGCTGGAAAAGTAACCAGTAACTTTCAACCTTGATTTTGACCTATCTAACGATGGAAATTGGAAGTGGCATAGAAGATTTGTTTATTTGTTCCTCTATGTGTTTAGCTTTCAATTTTTGTGTTTTTTTGAATCACCCAAATCGGAGTTATAAATTGAGAAGATATGACCCAAATAGTAGAGACTGCGCAGGCTGAAAAGCACGACGCGCGCTCTCGAATTGTGCGCTTGTAACCTCTCTGACTCGCGAGGGTGCTTCTCACGGCTCGTCGATTTCATTGCGCGCGTCGTGAATCTCACCTGTAAAAACTCACTGACCCTCATGTGTGCTTCTCGCGCTTCGCGACTTTGCATGGCCGCGCTCGCGACTTTGTGTTTGATGCTCTTTTGGACCTCTTTTTCTCTGCAATTGTAATCCTTTGGCTCAACTTGTATGCCTCCATCATTTTTTAAAACAAAAAAGACAAACATGAACCACATGTAATAAACACAAAATGCAAGCATGCAAATGATGTGAAACTAACATGACACAAGTTGCCCGCTTGGTGGCGGCTATCAGCATACCAGGGTAAGCAGTAATGGGTTTTTTTTAAAAATGGAAATTTAAAAATGAAAAGCCAAGTTTTAAATTAAATGCCTTTTTTGTTTTTTTTTTTTTTCAAAAAATCTAATTTGAAAAAAAAAACCATTAAAAAAACCCCCACTTAAAATCCCCCCTGCTCCCATTGGAGGGGTTTTTAACAAAAGGGTTTAAGAAACCACCTTTTTTTTTTAGAAATTTAAAGGCCCCCCTTTAAATTTGTTCCCCCCACGAACATAGGGAATAAAATATAGCCAAGATCTGTTGGGCTTTTTCATACCAAGTTTTGGTACTTGGCCGCTACAAGGCCGTTGCGTGAATATGATTATATAATGGCCATAGCAAGCCCAGCATACTGTATTCATCCAGTTTCATACAATCCTTCTTATCACTTGGTTTCATTATAACTTATTGGAAGCTATATAGTTATATTGACTACAAATTGCATAATCTACAGTTCAATGAGGCAACAAGTCGGATAATAAAGTATCATGATATGTGGCTTACATTCCATAATGTTGGATTACATGTTTTTTTATACATAATGGTATGTGCTTCCTTGTTCCTTTATTCATTGCGATATTCACTGAGTTGTAATAAAAGTTGCAGAATTCATACAGCATAAGGAACATCAGGTACGATCATACAAGTATAATGTTATGTGTGCTTACTAGTTTATTTATTTAGTTCTCATGGAGCCATACAGTTATGAGATTTTATTAATCATAACTTATATGATGTGAATAAAAAGTGCAAAAGTCATATAGCATAATGAACAGTAAGTAAGACAATGAAAATTTACTGTTATGTGTTCTTACATGTTTATTGATTTCATTCATACAGCATAATGAACAGTAGGTAAGATCATGATTGTGACATCCTGGCCATCAGGGGGCATTCGCCTTAGGCGAATCCCACATCAATGGGTACGGACGAGGTAAACGATCTAACATAAGAGGGGGTAGTCTCTAAACCTTTGGTAGGCGCCTTTTTTGAGCTGGGCAGAGTGGGTGACCCCTGCTTCCAAAGGGGGACAAAACCGTGAGGTGTAGGGACATCCGGGCCATCCGGAGACTATGCCAAAGCGGACAATACTTACCAAGGGTAGGGCTATGACAATGATAGTATCATGATATGTGTGATTAAAGGTTCATGTAAAGGAGTTATGAGATAATTAGAACTCAATTATTTATGTTCTGAATTAGAAGTTTATTCTGTACTATAAAGATACATTTATGTTGACATTTACTGATTCTATGATTATCAATGCTTTTATGAAATTTGTATTTTAAGTAAGATGCCATCGCACTTTGTTAAGTATGTGAATTACGAGCACCACTGAGTTTTGTACTCAGTGCGTCGATTTTTATCACGCGTAGGTTAAAGATCGTGGTTGCTACTTGAAGACTTGAAGAGTACTATCAAAGTAGAAGTGACGAATTTGGGAGTAGTAGATTGAGAGTTACTTATGAAATGTGATTGGAAATATAAGTGAAGCATGTAATTATTTTGGTGTAAGTAGTTGGTAGAACTCAGATTATTTATTGTTCTGAATTAGAAGTTTATTCTGGTACTATAAAGATACATTTATGTTTGACAATTTACTGATTCTATGATTAATCAATGCTTTTATGAAATTTTGTACTTTAAGTAAGATGCATCGGCACTTTGTTAAAGTATGTGAATTACGAACACCACTGAGTTTTGTTCTCAGTGCGTCGATTTTTTTATCACGGCGTAGGTTTAAAAGATCGGTGGTTCTACTTGAAGACTTGAAGAATTTACTATCAAAGTAGAAATGAACGACTTTGGGAAGTAGTTAGATTGAGAAGTTACTTATGAAAGTGTGTTGAGAATATAAGTGAAGGCATGTAATTATTTTGGTGGTAAGTAGTTGGAGATAAGAATCATACTTTATGAAATCGATTGAAATATGAAATATTTTACTATAGTTTGGTAATGATTTAGTTCATGAAGACTTGACATTATATCTAATGAAATGCAATTAATTGCTGGATATTAAATGCTATTGAGGATTATACAGTTTAATGAAATATATATACTAAAGTGTTATTGTTTGGTTAATAATGAAATTAGTTGAGATATTGGAAGTTGGAGGTTGAATTGGGAGTGTTTGATATTCATATTTTAGGCACAGGATGATATAGCATGAACAGATACATAAGTTCAACCAGATTTATAGCGTCTCGGCTCGGGTTCATTCAGGTTAGCGGGTTGGACCGGGAAGGGATGTTATCAATATTCCCTAATTAGTTTACTGATTTGTATTCCTAATAGCTAGGTAGCATAGGAATGTATTCCTAAATAGCTAGGTAGCATAGGAATTCCTTATATATAGACCTATGTAATCGATTGATGAGATACAAGAAATACAACTACAATATATTCTCTGCACAGATCCCAAATTTACTACTGTCAAAGCTGAAGTAGCGTGCACCACTATAACTGTGGCTGGCACCGCACATAATGGTGTCCGCCAGTATCAGTATAGTGCCAGACAACTGTTAATTTCGTCCTTTATTTTTGCTATAAAAGCCCATTTCTCTCAAAAAAATGTAGCTCTAACTCAGAAACTACCCCAAAAACATTTCATCTCTTCTTTATTTCTTCATGGATCGAACTTTGACACCCATATTTGAAGCATTGTTTTGCAATTTAACCTGGGACGATTGGGATACACTTTCACCCTTTGAGCTGAACGAGCTGAGTTATTATTGAACATTCGGGTCTAACCCGGATTGTTGTAATGTTTGATCAACTATTTTTTACCATTCGAACAATTTATTTCAGCATAATGACTTCGAGATCTATCCATTTTTTGAAGAGTTTAGCATTATTTCCAATAGGATACCCCTGACTGAAGAAATTCATGTGGTGCCTTGGCTCGATGTCAACCCAGCTTCGTTGATACTTCATGTGTTTGGCTTTTTGGCTTAGAAAGTTCAAGCAAATGGAAAGGAAATTGACAGTCCCTTGCAGCCATTACTAGAGTATGCAGTGGAGATGGATTGCGCTAATCTGCACTGGGCTTCTCTTATTTGCTTTTGCATTCTAAGCCAATACTTGCTGTTGAGCGGTATTGACGGTTATGGCAACCTTTAGCTAATAACCATAGTTGAACAGATGGCTAGGTGATGCACGTCGTTTTCACTTATTCTTGCTGAGACTCTGACTTAGCTAGGAGTCTGTGCTCGGGATCCGGACTCAGAGCTGGATCCAATGGGGAGCCCGCTTCTACTGCAAGTAAATGCATTGTATTATTGTTCCTGTTTTTATGCTCTAACTTTTGCTTAAGCCGCCCTTGCAGGTTTTCAACTTAACGAGCTTTTGCTTTTATTTTCTATTCTTTCATTTTTTTTGCTTACTCTAATTTTTGCTTAAGCAGCCCTTACGGGTTTTCAACTTAAGGAGCATTTTTCTTCCTTTTTTCTTTTTGTATTTTTTTTTTTTTTTTTTTTTCTTTTTTTTTTTTTTTTTTTTTTTTTGAATGCATTTGCAGTTATGGGCTTATGAGAAGCCTCAAGTGATGAACCCACCATCAGACTATCTGATGTATGATTACGGGCCAAGAGTCTTCATGCAGTGCTGCTTGACTAGGGATACCGTCGAGGACTGGACAACCATTCTTCAGGATATTACAACTGAAGGCATTGGATGGACTTGCCCCTGGCGGTATATAAAGTTAGTCACAGTCTCCCCATACATGCTCTATGTGCCCCTGTGCAGGCTTACCATAGTAGTCGCTTATTATCTCAATCGCGTGGCTAGGCAGTATAGTTGTCATCAAGCTATCGTTGATTATGTTGGATTTGAGGGCGGACTGATCACTCAAAGATTCCTATCTCACTTTATTGCCACATTTAATTGGAATAATGACTCTTATATTGTCACATTTAATTGGATTAATATGACCAAGTGTCAGTTTAAAATCCTTCAATTGTTGCCTAATCCATAAAACTAAGCCACAACAAAGGCCAATAGCTACGTACTCGACTTTGCCAATTGAAAGTGTAACAGAATTTTATCGAGTCCAAATGAACGGTTTCAATTCCTTTAGCGAATTGGGCGAGGCATCCAGCCGAAGCCTCACAATATATATAGGTTCACTTTGGATATTTTGATCTTAAAATCATAAACCGAACCAAAAGCTTGTTTTAAATTGTACAGACCAAACCATCAATTTTTTACGACTTCGATTGTCAATCTATTTAGGTCGGTTTTTGATCGATTTGGATGATTTGATAAATGCCCCTAGTTGTTTTATAAGATTTTTGAGCAATCTAGGTTTGTTGCAATAAGGGTTTGTCTGCTTTCTTCTTGTTTGCAAATGCTGGATGAAGAAATTCATAGTAGTTGGAGAAAGAAGAAGTTAAATATGGTAAAATGAAACTTGAGTGGAAAAACTACTAGCTATGTCATGGCTATATGTAGGCGTGGCTGGTTCAATGAATCACCGATTCCGGTTCATTGAGCCGCCGGTTCGAGATGCTTAAAATTTTGAACCGGAATCGACCCTTGAACTTTCGGTTCCCGTTTCGTCATAGTTTCGATGAACCGACTGTTCGAATTACCATTCCGATTTAGTTCCGATATTACACAAATTTTTTTAAAAAAATAAAATTTTGATTCCGAATTCATAATAAATAATAATTTTAAAATGTTTAGATTTTATTAACTAAATAAATTATTATAATTTTTTATTAACTAAATAAATTATTAATAAAATTTTAAAAGAAAAGAGTTCTATTACTTAGAACTATTATTCACCTTAAATTTACAAATTTGCTAACTACTAATATAGAAAATTATAATTTTTTTATTTTGGGCTTGAATTAAATTAAAATTGAAAAATTTTAATTTAATTGCCTATGTATCATCTTGGGAATTAGAGAAGATCAAAGCCCATGTAGTTTTTTTTTTATTACAATGGAAAATAACCTTCCAATTATTACAATTAATTTTAGTCATCGGTGCCACTAGTTCTCGTTAATGAGCCGGAATCATCATCATCGCTTGAATTTTATTGGTCTTAAGTTCTCAACGTCGCTTTAGTCCAATCGTTAATACATTCTTGCATTTCCATATTATTTAGCGATAATCTTGACCATATTGGATCTAAAATTTATCCACCTGCACTAAAAGCTTGTTCCACTGCAACAGTAGAGATTGGACAAGCAAGAATATCTTTTGCAATTGAAGCTAAGACTGGAAAGTAATTTGCATGCTTTTCCACCAACCTAAAATGTCAAATTTTATTAGGTCTTCATCCGCATCATCACCTAAAAACTCAAAATCTATGCTAATATATGTCTCAATTTCTGTGTATAAATGTGAACCCTCCCTTGGTTTTTTTGAAACATTTTGTTTTGAAACATTGCATGAAAGCGTAAATTTGACTTGTAGAATTGTGAAAATTAGTGGGATTGTGTTAGTTTTTCCGTGGGACTGGTGATAACTTGGCAGGAAGGGTTGAGAATTTTACTAATTTAGAATAACTCAATCTCATACAACTTGACAGACATACATCCAAAACATTATTTAGTAATGAGAAAAAATAACTCTACTTTCAATATTTAAAAACAAGAATCCACAATAAAGACTTAAAAATCTTGTAATGCAAACTAACTTAAATCTAGGGACATAAGAAAAACTTGACGCAACTAAATTTGTTAACAATATGTAAATTTTCAGGTTATAATATTTTAAACCATTTAGTTCATCATGAATATACATTCTTGTAATTATCATTCATCCCATTCTTCATTTCAATTAGTCACTGAATTTATTCGAGCTGCACACACACCCCCTTATGCACTACTTAGCCCAAACAATGCAAAATTTGAAATCATTAACATGGAAAGTAGTTAGTCAATTAATTACCAACACCACTACAATAATTCCTTGTAACCAATTTTTCAAAAAAACTTGCCAAATATCTAATATTTTTTTACCAAATGGATCCAATTTGGTTTAGCGAATAAAGTTGAAAATGTTGATGCATGCAATTTGCATATTAATGAAGAAAGAATCATAAATGAAGAAAGAATATTTTTATATTCATAAGACTCATTTAACATTTTATAAGTTGAATTCCACCTTGTAGGAATATCTTTTGAAAATTTTTTATATTTTTTTCCAATAGAATGACAAAAATTTTTAAATTATTTTCTAACATATCCATGTGTCGATAAATGATTTAAAGCATTTTTTATTGGACGTAAAAATACATTTAATATTGTTAATGCATCTAGATCACATAAATTTAAAATATGACATGCACATTTAGTGTGAAAAATTGTCCACCAAATTTAGGTTGACAAAGAGTTTTTAATTCATTTATTGATGTCGTATTTGCAATAGCATTATCAAAACCAATTGTAAAATTTTTTTTAGTCAAACCATATTCTTCTACAATAATATTTAACATGGTAAAAATATTATGGGCGGTGTGTTCTACAATAATATTTAACATGGTAAAAATATTATGGGCGGTGTGAGAGTCATCAAAAACTCTAAGTGCAATAATTTTTTTAAAATTTTCTACTCATTATCAATCCAATGAGAAGTAACACCCATATAAGAATGAGTTTGCCAAATATCACAACAAATAGCAATTTTACCATTAAAATTTGCAAATACATTTTTAAAAATTTCTTTTTCTTTCAAATAAATAGAAAAGATAGTCCTTTTAAGTTATTCCTAGATATCTTTTTTGCTAAAGGATTTAATGCTTTCTTTACAATAGTTATTAAATCCAATTTTTTTCACCAAATGAAAAAGATAATAGTTCCATACAAACCATTTTAGTCATTTCAATTTTATTAGTTTCATCACTATATTTAAATAGAGGAGTGTTAGGATCACCGTATCTTGATGACGATAATTGAGTTTGAGTTACATCCATTCCTAACCGCATATTGTAGTTTGAGTTCTACAGTCTATCCATTTCCTACCTCATTTGGATGATTTACTTCGCCTGCCTGATTGTAATATGCCCTACCTTGAGAGTGCCCCTAATAAGCCTCCTCCAAGCTGAAGTGCATATTGCTTTCTTGTGCAATCCAATAACATTCTGAACCACACATCTTGATTTTCCCGTTAGTTTGAACAATTTTTTGCCAAGTACTTTCTTGAAAATATCTGATTTTGGTGGGAAGTTTACCTATTGACAATATTAGGAGAGTGGTTGTGCTTTATTTCTTGTTGTGTTTGCGATGACAGAAGAGAACTATAACTTGTTCCTTTCAACTAGCAGTTCTCGATACTTGAACTTCATTATTAACAATTGTGGTGGGACAAAATCAATCAATGGATCGTTTTGAAAAATCAATCAATGGATCGTTTGAATCAATTTCTTCCACGCTTTGAGCAACTCGCTTTCCCTTGGAGCTTTGTGAATTGTGTGCCATGTTTTTTAAATGGAATTATGGAAAAAAAAATGAATAAATGGAATATGAAATTAATGGAATGAGTTGAAAATTATTATTTTCAAATACTAAGAAAATTATTAAAAAAATCTAATGAAGTAAATTTATGAATGGAAAAATTGAGATTATAAGGAATTTAGAATTGGATGTATGAAAATAAAAAATAAATAATAGATAATTTCAATATTAAGAAAAATAAAGCAATAGAAAAAATAATGAACTATGTAAAATGGAAAACTATGTAAATTGAGGAGAATTTTGATGAGAATAAAGAGGGAGACGTTAGGATATAAATTTGGTTTGTTTGAAAAAAAAATAATCATCACACTTTATCATATTTATAACCACTTATTTTTCATTATTAATTTCCAAATCTGTCCCTCTATACACATGAAAAAATAATAACTATTACTTTTTTGAGATAATTTAAGTAAATATATAATATAATATAAACTTAAACTAATTTGATTAAAAATGAATGAAAATTTATTTACCAAAAAATAACAAAAAAACATTTCTTAAAAAAGCTTCAACCTTCAAAAAACTAGCCCTTTTGTAACAATTCTTTTTTTTTATGCTCACATATTTAATTCTTCTTTTTTTTTTTACAACTCAACTATTCATGTAGACCTTATTTGTTTTTCCTGTTATAAACTTAAGCGTGTCACGCCGCCCGAACACACACCGACTCTTAATCTAGGCCAGACGGAACAATTGTTTTTTTCCACCGCTTTGCGGACTCAAAGCCCATAATCCCCCTAACTTACAAGACCATGTCGTCAAGACCCACTCGCGACCACTCCCGGTGTTATGTTCCCGATTAAGCAGCCTACGGTGAAAAATCGGGAAAACTTCCCAGAGCCGAGGCGTCAGCCAATCGCACCTCAAGAATTTCCGTGTTAAATAGCCCGCAAGCCACGAGCGCTCTTAACCTTGAGCCCAGTTTCTTCCAACATCTCCAGCCATTCCACCAAAAGAGCGGCCTCTATTAGCCATGATTTAGTTTCCCCACTTTTTCGATATATGATTCGATTCATTCATGTGTCGCCCGACGATTTCACTACCGACCTAAGCTATGACCCTGCCATCCTAGTAAGCTAGCCAGGAGACTTCGCTCTCATTACGCCGCCCTCTCTAGGATCTCTTGCTCCGCGGCGTCCGGTGCCGGGTCGGGATCCTGTTCACATCTAAGTTCAATCATGTGAACTGTTTTTCACCATTTTTATATTATTGTAACTCATTGGTACTTTCTCGCTTCACACCTATAAATTTTAAAATCAACTACAACTCAGGAATCAGTGATATAAAAATTTTCTTCCACTTATAAAATTTTTAAGCTACAAATAATTGTTGTTTTGTGCATCCGTTCGAAACCGACCAGAAAACCCGCTCGGCTTCCAACTGTGTTCAGAGTTCATTTTTTAAAACATTCACCCTCCGATTGGCAATCGTAACCGGTCCCTTGAACATCCCACTATGCCAGATTTCCACGTTCACAAAATTTTGAATCGCCGGTTCCAAGTCTCTTCTACAGTCCGGGTTCGGATTTCCGTATTCCACGTTCCCAATTAGACTTCGGAACTGATTGGCCCTATGCGCCCCTTAGCTATTTATGTTTATACATCATTTTTCTATTCGCTTACATTATGGCATACGAATATCATTAAAATTTGTAACTTTAAAAAGCAAACAAAAAACATAATAACACTACCTTGAGATGGCCCTTGCATTTCTAGCCTGAAAATATTTATAAATTTTGCAGGAATAAATTATTACTTTGTTTGATCTAATAACTATATATCACAAAAAATTAGTACGTCTTGCATGTCGCAAAGGAATAAAATTTCTATACTTTGATTACAAAGATATATCACAAAATTAGTACAATCTTGCCAATTCGGAACTAAAAAAATGAAATTTAAAAAAAATGAATTTAATTATTTAGGTACGTTCTTGCATTTGAATTATGTTTTTGCAAAATTTTCATTTAAAAAAGGTGAAAATTAAGGCTCTGAGTAAAGGATTAAGGAATTGCTTCCCTGTAAGCCACTTGAATTGAAAGTAAAAGTAAGGAAAAGTTATTTGTAGGCAGGGAACTCCACCGATAGAAGAATAAACCAGGTTGCCCATTTGCAACATCTTAAAATACTTTTGATTAAAATATATATCACAAAAATTAGTACGTCTTGCATTCGAGGAATAAATTTATACTTTTGATTAAAATATATATCACAAAAATTAGTACGTCTTGCATTCGAGGAATAAATTTATACTTTTGATTAAAATATATATCACAAAAATTAGTACGTCTTGCATTCGAGGAATAAATTTATACTTTTGATTAAAATATATATCACAAAATTAGTACATCTTGCATTCGAATAAAAATGAAATTTAATAAAAAATGAAATTTAATTATTTAGTACGTCTTGCATTTGAATTTGTTTGCAAAATTTTCATAAAAAGTGAAAATAATTGAGTAAAAGGATTAAGGAATTGCTCCGTAGCCACTTGAATTGAGTAAAAGTAAGGAAAGTATTAGGCGGGAACCTCCCACGGTAGAAGAATAAACCAGTTGCATTGCAACATCTAACAAACAAGGAAAATAAATAAATTTTGTGTTTGACTTTTAAAGTAAATTTAATACTAATAAATATAATAATTTTTTCAAATAATAATAAGGTGGATTAATTAATTAAAGGATTGACAATGAGAAGAAGAGAGGAGAGCACGAATATCAATCGTGTTTCCCGGAACCGAAGGTAACAGCGCAAACACAAACACTCGTCTCTTCCTCCTCTCTTAGCAATCACAAAAACCAAAAATTCCGATCAGATCTCACCGACATCTGATCGAATTTGCGTGGTTTTTATTATGATAAGCAGATGGAAAGGGAGAGGTTGAATGGTGATGGCAATTGGAATTACAACTACACTAAATTTGGGAATGATTATTATTATTATTACGGTAAGCAAGAGGATGGAGAGGAGGAGGTGGTGGCGGAGGTAGATCCACTCGGTCTAAACTGTAATGGTGTTGGCGGTGGTAAACACAAGAATCATTTTCTAATGACAACCGCCAATTCTTACCCCTTTCCATCGTCATCAACGATTATGACATCGCCAATGTCAACACCTTCTCCGCCACTCCCTGGCGGTGTTGGCTTCATTGAACATCCCGTTTCTAAGTTGGATACTCTTGCCGGCGTCGCCATCAAGTACGGTGTTGAGGTAAATTTCTTTTATTCGTTCATATACATATTGGATTCTGAATGTTACTTAATTTATTTGGGTAATTGCATTGCCGAATGCGATGTCAAAATATCGATAATTGTTAACCTTGTACTGTAGCGGCATAGATTTTACGATTAACATTCTAAGAATAAACATGAATGTACTAGTGAGAATGGAAAATTGCGACTATTTTCTTAAAAATTTCATGAAAACTCGCTATTGTAGTGGTTTACATATTCGTAATTGGAAGATCTTTGGCAATATAGTTTCTCCTTTTATGTTCCATGCATTCAAAATTAGGTTGCCTGAGGAGATTCACTCTGGATACACCAGGGTCATCTATTTGCTGCATTGTCCAATTGTTTTCCTATATTGGGTATTGATTTTCTAGGCATTTGGATGTATGAACTGGTGTTCTCGTGTCACTTTGAAATTCCAAATGCTACTGGGTGCTTTCTTTCTTTCACTTTCTGTGCTTTTTAAATAGATAGTAAGCTGGTTAATGTTCTTTTCTGGTTTCGTGGGTGACATTAGGTGGCTGACATTAAAAAAATGAATGGTCTGGTCACGGATCTACAAATGTTTGCTCTCAAGTCACTCCAGATTCCATTACCTGGAAAGCATCCACCCTCCCCTGGCTTATCAAATGGTTCTAATACCTTTAGGTACTTATTTAATCCTTTTAGACTAATGTTTCTGTTCCAAATTTCTTTGTTCTGATGTAAGAGGAAATATACGAATTAGCTTATGGTGATGAGTGCAAAAAATTGGTGCTTGATACTGGCTGGCGATGGCTAAGGATGATTGATGGTGGCTAGTGGACATTATGTTCTTGTTTCTCTTAAATGCTGTTCCCTTTTAATGTATTTGAAATGTTTTTTGTCATTTAAAGGAATTCATTTTCCTTAGAAGATGTGTGACTCTTGCGTTTTTTATGACCAAGTTCCCTAAACAAGCCAAATCAAAAATGTTTTGTAAGGACATATTTTTTTCACAAAATAAAATTGAGCATTAAGAAGAATTCTTTTCTTCCCTAGCACCACAAATACTATCCATCATCCCCGATGCTACGACCATATATTTTTGCCACAACCACCTCTGTCTCCTTCTAGAACAACTTAATTTTATTAATTTCTGAAACATTATTCAACTCTTGAATTCTCAGCATCAAGATTATTCAGCTGGTAAATTGTATACACTCAATTTGTACATAATCAATTATAGACTTCACTTGATATGAAAATAATGTAGGAATATGAAAATAATGAAGGATATACTCATTATGAAACTACTTCCCAAAGTCTTTGTATGGATAGGACAGCTACTGGATACCTTCTTTGTATCATTTGTTTGGCCATGCATGATATCAGAGGTGATATAATCCTGAGAAACTAGTGAGCACGGATAATAATATACATTTCAGGTGGTGCGACTGATTTGAGTGTCTGGTGATACTTTTATTCTGTGGTTTTTTTGTGATGATAATTAGTTCATTTGGAGTGTTTTTGGGGTGCCGCGGCAATGATAGTATTTAAATACAAGTTAAAATACAGTTGCCTCCAGGCCTATTGCAAATTGTATTTTGTAATATCTGCGTTGGGTTGTGCGATCACAACATTGGCAGGATGGAAAATTTAGTAAAATATCATTACCTTGTCACTTTAGCAAGTAATTACACCTGCCAATATCTGCTGAGAAGTATGTGATGACTGCTTACCAACCTACTTAAACTTTACCTTCTTTATTTCGCTCTAGCTGTTGCACTCCAGATTTCGTTTCCTCCAATATCAGAAGCTCTGTTTTTTGTTTTCAAATGAACCTGTCTTGCACCTAAAAGTTTCCCCTTGCTCTTTCTCAAGCATATCAAGATGAGTACCCTTTCATTGTGCTACACTGTAGTAGCTTTGCCTATGATGTGCAAGGTGCTATTTATTGTAGCTTCTTTTCTTGTAGTATCTCATGCATTTTTTATTATTAAAATGTACTTCCAGCGGATAAGCCTGTGTGTTTGCTGCAATATTATACATGTTTCTTTGTTACTTTATGTCTAGTTTCTACTGTTGAAAAATAAGCATCTCTACATGACACTATTATTCAATTTTTTAGTGTTGTACTTTTATCTCTCAAGATGATCCACTTTGTTCCTTGCATAAATTGCCTTTTGTTAGATCTCAGCTCCAAAGTGACCATATATATTATATGCTGGAACATTTTTTGCAGACATAATACCTCTCAACAGACCCATTCTGATCTCTTTGATTCATTTCCATCCTTGAGACTTAATTCTTCACAACGGAAGGTTTCTTCAGCCATGAGCTCTTTACAAGGTTATTATGGGCTCAAGTCAGAAACTGAAACAGGGCATTCCCAAGGTTTTGAAATGGCAGACTATAGACAAGGAGATTCTCACTATCTTGAACCATCACCAGCTTCAAATACACCATTGAGCCACCATCGGAAATCCAGGAGCTTAGCTAATGGTTTTAGAGATGAAAATAATGGAGTGGCTGACGACCAGCTTATTGACGAAGAAAGAGAAAGTGACACAGGGAAATGGATAGAGAAATTGCTTAGAAGGCGTCAGAAGTCTGATGCTGACTTTTCTTCCAGATATCCTGAAATGCTTATGAGAGAGGATACTGTTGCAGGTGTAAGTTCAGCTATCACAGGAAAGAGCTTAGCTTTGAGATCCAAAGCAGCAAGTCGAACTGCGTCGCCACTTGATGCTGAAGCAGGTGGTTTGACCCCCGTAGGCATGGGCGATTCTCTTCTGAGTGGTGGATTTTACAGTGTAAGGAAGTCATCAAGCACATCAAGCTTAAATGATCAGGACAACGGCAATTCTTCCATCTGGCCAACGTCCAAGTGGAGTTTGACGTCAGATTTACAAGCCCTTTCAGCTGCAGCCATAGCAAGACCAATCTTTGATGGATTGCCAAAACCAATAACTGGTCGAAGAAACAAAACGGCACTTGATTAGCTATCTCTTATTATAAGAAATCCATTTTTGATTCTGATCTGCATTTTGGCAGGCACTGCATAGCTAGTACACAAAAGGGTAAATAGAAAATAGACTGGAAAAATGTCAAAAGTAACCACCCTAGTTTAATACGAGAGATGTTCCTATATACAGGAAAGTAAAAAAGAAAATTTATTCAATTTGTATAATTTATTCTGGACTGTCCAAGTCCATATTGGAAACGTGGAGGCAATAATGCAGATTAAATAATGCATTGATTGATCTTATATTCCCGTCTTTGACATGTTAGCTGTACTGACCAAGTCAATGTAGATTCCATTTTGTTTGTCCGATACAACAGTCTCGTTTTCTTTCAGAAACGGCTCAATGTCAAAGGTCGTTTTTGCACAAAATATATTTAAAAGAGTAATGCGGCTAGACTTGATGCATTTTCAAATCTATATAAGACTTTAGGGTAAACAATAAAAATCAACTGGGTTTGAATTTTTTAATTTTGGATCATTTATTACGTTTGATAGTTCTTAGATTGATGAAATCTGAAATTCTCATATTTCATAAATCCATGAAATTTCACATTCTTTTATAGTTAAAAAACAAATTAATTAATTTGAAGGGTATTTTAAAATAAAATTAAATGTTTTAAATTCTATAATAAAAAAAAAATACACATGTAGAATATAAGGTGAAATTTCTCAATCGAGACCATAATGAAGTCTGCCAATTGTATGAATTGTAGCTTATTTTCATTGGACCAAACAAAAAAAGTAGACAAATCTAGAACCTCTAGCCAGATTTCATCAAAATTAATAAAAATTACAAATTAATAAAGGTACACAAACAATTAATTTAAACAATAAAATTAATTTACAAATCAAACAAGATTAATTTCATGTTGATCTGTACCGAAAATTTGTCATATTACGAATATAATCATCAGATCCATAGGATTGCAAATTCTACCAAAATTGTTAAAATTTTGATGCAAGAATAAACCAATTCTATAAAATTAACAAAAAAAATTCTAAATAAATATTCATTAATATCAAATATGAAATATATGTTCCACCAAAAAAAAAAAAAAATGAGACATGAATTTAAAAATAAATTTTATAAAATTCGAAGAAATTATCGAAACTGCTTTATATTTGGGTAAATATTAAATGCCAAAGAATTGGATTTATAAGAGTAAAATGTCACAACATGAAATTCTAATTTTGTGAAATTTATTTATTCCCCACAAGATCCAATTAATGCAACCCATCAAAAAGCAAAATTTTACAATTCATTACGACTAATGACAGTCTAATATTCTTAGCTGAGATATTCGTATCTGCTGTAATCTCAAATGAAAATATAGTCTGCACAAAGGAACTTTGTGTAGCAATTGTACAACTAGAAATGTTGACAGTAACAAAAGTAAATCATATACTCGATCTGTAAAATAGTACAGAGAATGCAAGACTATAAATATATGCATAAAGATTTAATAATTTGTAAATTAATTGCTATTTCTTAGGGGGAAAAAAAGAGATGCATCACTTTGTGGAACCAACTTTACTTTCTTTGAGATATTCTTCAAGAAAAGCTAATTTCTATCTAATAAATACAAAATTATGAGCAACGTCTGGTTTGGGAATCCATGACAAATATTTACCTCAACATTTTGCAGAAGTTGTCTGCCAAATAGAAATCTTATTCTTCAATGTTTACCGTGATGAAACACCATGAACTATGACAATTTTTCGCTAGATGTTTTGCCCAAACCTGTGCCAACAAAGCTTGCAGTTATCATCTAATTCCGTGGAAATAATAAAATAAATTATGCAACATCATATAAATTCACAGCTTTTATGTTTAAGCATCACTAGCAACACCCCACCGCCTCCACATGCATTAGTGAGGAACCCAGCTATGGATGGTTCAAAATGAAATAATTAGAGAAAGGAGGGAAGGAGGCTTGTAATGTCAAGTTGCACTTCAATTTTGAGGCAAAGTCTCGTTCAATGAGGCCCCTCCAAAATCACAGAATAACATCTAAAAATTAATTGTTTCCACGAAAATCACTAATTTTACAAGGAGAAAACGGGTGTTGGACAAATGGGAAGGGCTAAGTTCTGAAAATAAAACAAAACGAAAATGCTAGAAATGTTTCTACAATTCATTATGAATAAAGAATATTCAAATTACACCCAAATTAATAGACTTCAAAAGCATCAAGCAAACAGCCACCCTGGAGTACTTTCAAGTCAACTGAAATATTTCAAGAAAGTCAATTAAACTGTTGCCTTTAACCTATCAGAGTCTCTCCATAACAGTCCTTATCCAGGCTATAAATTCAGCTCTGAAGATGGACACTTGTCAGGATTTCAATTTTGAATGTAAAAGACAACTTCCTCATCAATTAATACCAGCAAGAGGAAATGCACACAGAACAACCTACTACAGCAGTGTACATGGAGCCTACAAGAAGTCTTACGAGGAGCCACGACCTGATACATCTACTAAGATTTTAGCTGTACAATATCAGCAACATCTTGCATAGTGTGACATTCTTGTGTTATTTAAACATTCCAACTCTTCTCGCACTTCATACAGTTATTTAACCAATTGCAGCGCTCATACTCTCTTCTCTTTCCGACTAGATATGAAGGATCAAAAAGTATTCTATTTAGGAACAATTCAGCTAATGTTCAGATTTGACAGACAAGATAAAGTAAAAGCTCCTCAGCTATAACGGAATTAATTGCACATCTGAGTTTAATATGTAAATTGTGTGCAGTTCTCAGCATATAAATAAAATTAGCAAGTCATCCCACTCTCTTATGTTGCACAGTAAAAAGCAAATGACAGCTTTCCTTTCACCATCTATAAAATTTCTTCAATAGTCTTCCTCTCCTCCATATCAACCAGTAAATAATTGAAGGGGAAACTCCAAACTCTAGATATTCCAATTTATAATACAAAGAATTCATGAAAAGGAAAGGGCGAAATCAAAGGAGTCCAAATTCAGATATGAAGGGGTAGGGGACCTTGAACAGCTGCAAATGAGCAGTGATGAATAAGCATCAATTGGCAATCAAACTATGTGTTTTCTCATATTAAGGAACAATCATAAGCTGCTCATTTTTTTTTATAAAGTTATTAGCAGAGACATCAACACCTTAATTCAGTCAAATACAAAATAAAATCACTGGCTGGAAAGGAGCTGCCGCAAGACAAAATATTAAAATGTCCAAATTCCCCAAAGCAAGAACATGTCATCTTATAATATCAGGGGCAAAAGACTTGTGCTCTTTACAATTTCAGGTGCAGAAGGCATTCCTTCAGCATTGCAAAGCGAGACAGAATAACATGCAAAAATAATAAAAGGTTCCAGGTCCAGGCATACTAGTTTTTCATGCTTCCAATAATCAGGGTTCTATTCCTGCTATTAACCAAGGTGATGGGTATGTGCTTCTAGCCATGATAGCATAGTTATACCATCTCCTCTCTTCTTATCTTTCCTCCCACTCTAAAAACAAAATAGTAATTAATTAATTACAGAATTTTTTTATTATTTATTTTTATCTTTTTATCTTTTTACGAAGAGGATGTTGCAAGTACAGATGTTTACAGCCAAGCTGCTCGAGTCAATTTCATTGAGGTCGCACATGGCATGGAGCGTTGGAAGTTTTTTGAAACTGCAATTCAACCAACTGTGATGAGTGGCAGTGAGAGTTGGGCAGCAAAGGAAACACGCACAAAAAAAAAAAAAAAAAATTTGAGAGTTGGGCAGCAAATAGGAAACACGCACAAAAAAAAAAAAAAAAAAGATGTCGCCCAAGTATATGGTGTAAACCATATAGGATAGTTTGAAATAATTTATTTTTTGAAGAGGTAGGAGCGCAAGCAACCTATTTCAAGAGAAAAAAATGAGAGAAAAAATGTTTAAGATGGGTTTAGTCAAAAAAAAAAAAAAAAAAAAAAGATGTCCCAGTATTGATGTGTAACCATATAGGATAGTTTGAAATAAATTTATTTTTTGAGAAGGTAGGAGCAGCAACCTATCAAGAGAAAAAAATGAGAGAAAAATGGTTAAGATGGTTTGGTCATATATGTCATAGACTGCCGGAAACCCCCATAAGGAAAACAGAGCACCTTAAAGTTGACAAGACTAGAAAAAAGTGAAGAACACCCAAGATGACATGAGAAGTTATAAAATAGTGCAAAACCAAGCGAAATGGAAAAAATGGATCCATGTAGCCACCCAAAACTACTTGGGTTTTAGTTGTCATTTTGTTGTTGCAAGGTTGAGCACCTGAGAATCTTTAATTTCATTTAGAACAAGAGTATTAACTGCTTACATATAGCTATTCCTTATAAGAAGGAATGGGAAGGTAGGTAGACAGAAAACATTAGGATTAAAGCCTTCGTGATATAAAGTTTTCTATTTTAGTAGCTTTTATAATATTTCATAAAAGATTCTGTATATAAATATGATGAATGCAAACAGAAAAAAGATTTGAAGGAAGAAACAGTTTTTGGAACATTTAAAAGAAACTTTTTTCCAAAAAATAAACATAAACCTGGAAATTTTTTGAAGCAAAAAGCTAAGGATTTACTCCACGATCAACCAGGAAAACACTGGAAAGAGTCAAATAACATGTAGCTAACATTCAAAAACAGAACATGCTTGTGACAACTAATTCCCATCAATCAGAGGCAAATTCCTGTCTACAAAAGCAAACAGAAAAAATAAGCGAGGTGACTTGGATGAGTTCTTTCCCAACAAAGGTACTGGAGTTAGTGAAGCACTAAGGCTGTAAAGTAGTATCATGCATCTCCAGTCAACTTCAAAAGAAGAACACCTTTTTACCCCCATTTTTTGAGAAACAAAATAATATTTATTTTATTGTAATACATAATGAGCCGTTTCCAGGAAGAACCAAAAGGCAATTCAACTCGCCGTACTAAGTTGTAAATAGGAGAAAAAATAGAATTATTAGGGTATCACATTTTTGGGTTGAAATTGACACAACACAGTTAATAGCGTAAAAAATCCAAACATGTAGCTAACAAGACCTGTCCATTTAGCCTGTTACGTCATGAATAGCCACTTGGCACAATTAGCTAAGTTGTTTTTCAGAAGAAAAAAAAAAAATTATTAAGAAAGAAAGAGATCAATGTACTATAGGATAAGAAAGTCTCCTATAATCCAAAAAATAATTAACAAGAAGATAAATAAAACACAAGCTACAAAAGTAATGCCTTCCAATCGAGTATAACAAAATTCAAAGGGACTCTTTAAAAGCTCTGGAAACACGAGTCAATATAAAACCCAAAAGCAACACATTCACAGCAAACGAATGGACATGCTCTGGTGATTCCTATCCATCAAAGACTGTGCACAATTTAAAAGAACACTGACACCTTCCCTGAACAAAACCTTTTCCACTTTAAACCAACAGAGGTCCCTAATGACTCTAGGCACGCCAGATGCATCTCAAAAATGCAAAAGAGCAATTCTAGATAGCCCAAACCACTTCACGATGCAAAATAGCTGAGAATGATTCTTGCCAGACTCATAACACATAACACAACAATCAGGAGATAAAGCCTTTCTAAGACTCTTTTTTTTTCTTCCAACAAAAGGCCATAGTAATCACCTTTTGGAGAATGGCAGACCAAACAGAAACTTTTATTTTCAGTAGCATTAGCTTTCCAAAGTTGATTGAAACATTGAAATGAATAATCTAGAAAAGAGCAAGGTGGAATCATAAGGATATAAATGAACATATTCTAGTGGAATTCACATACCAAATATTTCTATCTTCACTAAAAGACGATAGTTTTCTTTCAAAACTGATGTGAACAATTGATAAATAAATAAAAACAACTAATTTTCTTTGCAGATGAAAATTTTAAGAAAAGTTTTGGCCTTCTTTTTCATAGCGACAACTAGCATGATGACATGATTCTTACATGTCAAAATCATGTTGGCATGGTCATCAAAGAAAAACAATTAAGGAAATGCCAAACCTCTAATTTTGTTGTTTACTTGTTCATGCACAGAGGAGGATAACTTTCCTCCCAAGAAACACACAACGGGTGGCAAAATGTAGAAAACCTGTCAAATACAAGAGGAATGGTAAAACAATTGCCTAATGCCAAAGAAAGACCTCTAAAAATCAAAATACAGAACGCTGAAAGGAATCAGAGATCCTATCCTTCCCAAAGGAGATGCAACAATAAAAAAAGTATCCATAAAATGTGTTGCATTCTATTCCAACTATTAATGCCACACTTCAAAAGAACTTATCCCCATCTCGTCCTCTCAAAACCTCCAGACTGAATGACAGCAAAATTTTTAACTTTGATGGAAAAACAAGATAGTCACAAAATATTTTTTTTAAAAGAAAAGTAAGAATTATTCTGTGCAAAAAAATTTGCTTCTCTTACTTCAGACATTGACTCTTGTCAAAAATTTTTGAAATAAGGGTAAGAACCTTGGGAATTTAACTCATTTATGAAGGATTACCAGAAATTTAGAAGTTACGTCCCAACGTCAATGACATAATGAGCATTTATGAGTGGGCTCCCTCACTCAGTTTCTTCATCATTCCAACATTCTAACTAGCAGATCTAATTCACCTTTCGTAGGTCATCATTTCCACTTAAAACCAGAAGCAAGGCCAACTCTAGCACTTCATATGTGTTTAGCTGTTGCACATTAACAAGACATTTTAGTTGAAAGAAGAGTTTGATTTTGGAAGTTATCCTTTTTGTAAAACTTGTGAGAAGTACTTTTAGGACATCTAAAATTGATGAACAAGGTTGCACTGTTGGACACAATTCAGTATCTCCTAATAGATATAGTTCACTTGTGAATATATTAAAATAAAAAAAGAAAAGGAAGGAAGATGGTTTTCATAAAAACAAAGTTATTTTAGAAAACTAAAAGCATGTCAAAAACTAGTATTGAAGATCTTAACGAGAAAAAGGTAGCTTCAATTTCATAGATGCACTATGTATGATCCTAGTTATGGCTCCAATGCACATTGGTTCCAAACTTCATAATCCTAATCTTCCTTCATCAATTACAGAGTGAGATAGAACTATAATTTCTGAACAGAAAAGGAGTTTATCTCCTTCATTGGCCCAAAACTAAATTAGCATGAACATAAGATTTCTATTTAAACAAACAGCTTATCATATTAGTATGTCCTGGACACATGCACCCATAGAAAGACAAGGTATACTGTTGGCCCAATGCATTGCAACAATCCATGAACCAAAATGTACCAGCCAGGAAGTCACCACAAGTATATATCATCTCTGTATGCGTCCATACAAAGCCAAATATATCAATTATAATACATCGGCAAAAATATCAGTCCATTATGTATGAGCAAAAAACATGATAAATACTCTATGAATTGACAGTTAAAACTACAGCTTTTACCAAAATAATCTATATATTAGAAAAGGTATAAAAAATAAATAAATAATTCCCTCATGTTTAGCTTTTGATGCCTTAGGTATAAGAATCCTTTGAATCATTATAGGGCTTTGAAGTTTTAGTTATTGTGGCTTTATTACCATTTTGACAATCATTTCTGAACTTACATGAAACCAATTAAATTAACCAATATCAATTAAATAGTTTCCAACAGCCAAATTTAATTTGCCTGATTCAATGTTTATAGCATTTGTAAAATTCAAGGAATAAAAGAGCAGCATCTTATTCTTTTCGCGAGAACTTCCAGATCAGAAAAGCATTTGTACATTACAATTTCTTTCTCCATGATAAAAACTAAAAATAATGTAGCATCTGGATTACTGTGTAGCTAATAATGTTCAAGCATAATTCTCACTTGATGAGACACGTACAAGCATAGTTGTTGCAGTGACTACAAACTAAAACTTATATCTAAAATGGTGCAACAAGATTTCTTCCTCTAGTACAAAAACACTAGGCCATAGGGTATCTTACCCCTAAAGTGATATTTTTACAGGCCAACATAAATGCATAAAGCTTTTTGTCAATCATTTTCTCGATACAACTTGGAAAAAAAAAATTAGAGTTCAAATTTGATTTCAGAGTATATAATTTATTTTATATTGGATTCATTGTCAAAACCAAGCCATTCTACAAGGGATTAAATGGTAAAATAGGTGACAATGTAAGATTTCATTGAATTCATTCTTGTAGGACTATGATCAGTTCACAAAAACCAAATCATTAATGCAACCTTCAAAGAACATAATTCAAGGAACGGATTTCCCTTAACTCCATAACTAGTTATTTTGGTAATCCAATACTTAATATTGCAATGGGTTTGCTCCAACATAAAGAAAACGTTAAATCAAAGACAAAGTAAACCTGGGAAGGAGTAATAATGCAATTTTTCAGGTAATAAAACACAATGTAGTTTGAGTTATGGGTCACAAGACCAACATTAAAATACCTATGATAATAATAGACATAAAATTTCCCACTTCTGTACTTTTGCTGTTCAATTTCATAAAAGCAGCATAGAAAATTAAGTGGTCCATACTCCACAAGCATAATGGAGCAGTGCCAGATGATGAATGAAGATCTAGCCTCATCTTTAAACCATGAACTGCATATAAGGCATTCCCACCACCCAATGAAGTTTCTTTTGCCAACTTCTAAAGATGATCAGAGAAAGTTCCTCTACACTGCATCAGGGAAACTGGAATGCAACATTGAGGATACAATATAAAGGTATCCTTCTGCTTAAGTTAATTGCTCTAAAATAAATGCAAACATGCATACACAACTAACTATACAAATTCAAAAAAAATAATAATAAAATAAAATAAAATTTCATTAGCAACTCGCACTTGATGGAATTTGAACAATAATAAACTGACAAGACACAATTATATTTGTACCTCTGCAAGGAAAAGGGGCAACACTATATCAAAGAAAACAAGACATAGATGATAATGCTTTGAAAGGATTCACAGAATTCACTTCCCAAAATCTCTTATTTGGAACAAAATTTTTTCTCATACAATAATATAACTCATAAGTTTAATTACAGGAGTTGAGAAACAGATGTACTAACCAAGTCAGAAACATGAGCCTACAGTCCGAAGAACATGTTCCCAGGATATTTGTCAGGAAATATTACAATATACACAGTCCTGCCAAGTGCCTCCATAAGGTCTAAACGCAACCTTCAAATGCCAGTTATATCTTGTTCAGAAGTGGACTCGCCTTTTAAGGTGTATTATAATGTGAATTCATAAATTGTGTTCCCACCCATTGCACTGACCAAAACAATATATAGATTGATCACGAATTAGACTGATGTTAAATATACTCTCACAGATGGACACTAGTGCTTAGTTCTACAAAACAGTAAAGTATGGACATCCTTAGTGTTAGACTATATGGGGGAGGGAAGACTTGAACTTCAGTTTGTCAAACCATCCAATATTTAGCTTTCTTCGACTATGCCATAGCAAAGAATTTGCACTAAATTGTCAAATATAGAACATTTGAACATCAGTTAAATGACCTTTTAATTCATTTAAATTTTTCCACAGCAAAGATTTAGCCAAATACCATCAGTTAAATTATCAAAATTAGCTGCTATGCTGATGCCATAGCAAAGAAAAGTTAGCCAAGTACCCTGTCATATAATACATTGACATTCAAGGAAGAAAGGGTAATTCCATGCCAGTTAGTGCAAAGAAGTTCAATTAACCGCAATCACTTTCGTATCATTTTTTGCTGATGTTGTACAAATTGTACTCGCAAGCACACATCATGTCAATTACATTACACCATACTAAAGAATGATAGCAGTAGCACATTAACATTTTGGTTCTTTGAAACAAAATTTTATTATCACTAAACTATAAGGTACATCCCTAAATTTTTCCAGCATTTAAAAGCCCAATATTTACAAGGTCAATTACATCATGGAAGCCACCAGCTTCAAGTCACATTCTTAAAAGGAATATGGAACCTTCTTTATCTTGAAAGGATCAACAACTTTCTCAGAAGTTCAGTTGGCTCAAAAAAAAAAAAATGACAAGGAAAGAAAAACATACTTAAGCTTTATTTTTAAGCTGGTCTCCAGCAATTAAGAGCGGACATATCCGGTCTACATGGCAATACATGTGAAACACCATGACCTGAAGAGAGAAAAAAAAGGTTAGATTGGAGTATAACTATCAAATAGTATATCATAACATTTTAGCAAAAAATGAGGCAGATTTTTATTGAGCTGGGTCACCTGGGATTGGGGCTCCAGCTGGTAAATTGTTAGCAGAGGAAAGCTGAAAACCCATATTATTAACAGGTGGTCTTTCAATGGGTGGCCGAAAATAACCTGCCAGGGAAATTTTGAATAGCATTATTCTACCAAATAGCATTATTCTACCAAATAACAAACATGGCAACAAAAGAGAAAAAAAAAAAAAAAAAAAAAAAAAAAAAAAAAAAAAAAAAAAAAATACATTTTAGCAAAAATGAGGCAGATTTTTATTCGAGCTCTTTGAGTCACCTGGGATATGGGCTCCAGCTGGTAAATTTTTAGCAGCAGAAAAGCTGAAAACCGCATATAACTTTAACAGGTGAGCTTTGCAATGGTGGCCGAAAATACACCTGCCAGGGAAAATTTGCTCCCAAATGAGCATATGTCTACCAAATAGCAGTATTCTATCCAAATACCACAACATTGCAAAACCAAAAGAAGATAAAAAAAAAAAAACAAAAAAAAAAAAAAAAAAGAAAAAAAAAAAAAAAAAAGGAAAAAAAAAAACAAAATAAAGAAAAAAAAAAAAAAAAAAAAAATCAAAAAAAAAAAACAAAAAAAAAAAAAAAAAAAAAAAAAAAAAAAAAAAAAAAAAAAAAAAAGAGAAGAAATAATATAATATAAAGAGAAAAACTTCCAACTCCTGGACGAAGTATTGATGCAAACAATTAAAGAAACCATATGGAATTACATAAATTATTTTGACAGGTTAAAGTTCAAAGTAGAGTAATTGGAGTATTTTTTTTTTTTTAATGATATGGAGAAATTTATTAATTTTACAAATTTTCAAGAATCATATTAACCAAGAAATGCAGTTTAATCAGTCAAGGCAGGATCCAGGAATGTAACTTTGCATGTAGCTGTTAAAAGGACAAGTGCATACCGTCCTGCCCAAAAGAAGGACCAGCATGTGAAGGATTTCTTCCGCTCATCCATGCACCATGCTGATTATCCGTGTTAAATTCAGTTGAGGGCATCCTCCAAGCTTCATCTCCAACAAATTGCCTTCGTCCATCAGGATGAGACGGCAATGGATATGCACAGGGATATGAATGCTGAGGATGCTGCTGAATTGCAGGCTTTGCAAAAGAAAAATGACCAGAGGCTTGCGGTAAGTTCGGGTGCAAAGGTCTCTGTGCAAAAGGTGCACTACCTGGCTGAAAATGTGGGTTTTGTTGAGAAGCTTGGGGTTTTAAATATAGGTCCTTATGTCCATATTCCAATTGCCTAGATGTATTATATCCTGAAGGTTGAGAACTGCAAACTGCTGTAGGTGTGAAGCAAGGTGACTGCTGTGGATACAACTCACTCTTTACAACAACATCCATATGATTCCCATGAGTATTTCCAGACATTTGTGTGAGTTGGTTACCCTGCAAACACAGGAGAGAGGTCATAATAAACACATGCAACATACTGGATTTTTTAGAAGGTGAAAAGAGGGGAAGGGGGCCCAAAAAAAAGAGAAGAAAAACAAAAGAAAGAAAGAGTAAAAAGTCATACACTGGCTGTGCTGCAATATTCATGAGGAACAGCTGGTGGGTATGCCAACTGTGGTGATGACTGTAGTGTTGACACAGATGGTAGAATTGGTTGAGATACCAAGGAAGGTTGGGTTGGCACTGACCGTTGAAGTACCAGTGACTGAAGAGGGCCTGCAGGGGGTACAGGAGGAGGAGGTGGCTGTGATGGAAGAGGTGGTGGTGGCGGCGGTGGTGATGGAGATGTTGGCGGTGGAGGTGGGGGTGGAGGTGGGGGTGACGAAGGTAAAGGTGGTGGTGGAGGAGGAGAATCAGGAGGCAGTGGAGGAGAACCCTCTGGTAGTGGAGGCAGCACAACAGAATTGTCAATTACAGGTTCCAGTACTCCATCTGAGCAATGTTGCTGTGCATCCACTTCAAAAGGACCACTCGTAAAAGGCCTTTCATCCTTCTGGTTTCCAGAGACATCTTCCATTTCAAGCTCACCATCCACATCCTCTAAAATGCAATGCCGCCTGTCATTTGGAGTAATAACACATGTTTCTGACTCTCCTAAAGTACGAGTGGCCTCTGCTAGTGATGATATGTCACCATCTTCCTTCGGTGAACTGCTTGGAAGGTCCTCCTCCTCATCTTCATCTTCAAATACATTAGAAGATAAAAAGCCAGGCAGCTGAAATGTAGCATTGCTGGTACAAGAGCCAAGAAAATAACAGATAGATCAATGAATCAGAGATGTAACATTAATAGCACAAAAAGAATTGAGGGAAAAAGTTGCAAAATGCATCAAGAAATTTCTGATATTGTCTAAAACAAAGCTCAGCACAGACAAACAAAATGCATAGGTGACGAGTGGAAGCAGAGAACCCTATACAAATGCAAATAGCAAAACTATCCAGAATCCGAGAACCCTATACAAATTTTGCATAGATCAAAAACAATACATTTCCAAACAATGTAGAGATTAGAGTTTAACAGAGTAACAAAATATATATATAAAGGAAATTACACACTTGCACCCAAGGCAGTGTTTTCTCTAATTGAACTTTGACAATGGCGATTCCTTTTCCCAATAACAGTGTATAAATGTAAAATTTGATGGATTCTCACTTGCATTTTTTAACTAAGCCTGTGTTTGCAAAGGAATAAAAATAAATGAGGAAGACAAGTGGAAGCACTGAAATAATCACCAAAAAAAAAAAAAAAATTGCCAAAGACGTTAGGTTAAAACTCATAATTTGCAGCAGAGCAAAGCATACAAGCAAAAGTATAGTAGCAATGTGAGGACAAAGCAATATTAATTACTCTTACAATCATGGATGAAAAAAACATGAGATGGCAAAATATAAAATCAAATCAAGGAGAATTTACACCTTAAAAATGCCACGAAGAAGACTTCATTTAAATCCCATAAGTCTAAAGGAAACGCCCATCTAATCCTCATTGATGCCCAACATACTAACACAGAAATAAGTGTTTCCAATATCACTACCCAGTATCACTTTTGAAACTTCTGCTACAAATGAGGTATGCTAACATTACATAATCGTATCTCTTTTGAAATATCAATTTATGACTTCGTACAAAAGTAAATTGACGCAGGGGGAAAATGTAGGGCTGTCAATTTTCAACAAGTAAGCTAGAATAGGGTTGATTGTAGATGGAACAGTAATCAGTAATTAGGTATATAACCTTTGAATTAAAATTATGAGGAAAATAAGATGATTTACAATGCTACTAGTGCTGTCTACTTATAGTGATAAATCCTAACTAGACTAGGAATCCTAATTAAAGAAAGAATTAGAACTCTACTCCTATTCAATGATAAAATAGTAAATCCTAATCAAATAAGGAAACGGAAAACTAATGCAAATCTGAAATAAAACAGTAAATTAAATAAAATGATTAAAATCCTAACTAGACTAGGAATCCTAATTAAAGAAAGAATTAGAACATCTACTCCTATTCAATGAATAAAATAGTAAATCCTAATCAAATAAGGAAACGGAAAAACTAATGGCCAAATCTGAAATAAAACAGTAAATTATAAAATCCTAGCTGTGCCTAAGAATCCAATTAGGATAAGATTGAGCTTCATAGCAGTCATTCTCCCCGGGTTTGAAAAGACTTCGCTCGACGAGTAAGGCCTTGATGATATTCCTGCATATATGGCTAGATCACCTTGCCTTTAGCTGCTTCATCAAAATCCATGTAATTTCAACTTGCAGGTTTTCCAAAACTTAACTAAAAATCGTCTATATTGGTTGTCACGCCTAGAAACGAGCTTCCTTGACATCCAACACTTCCTCACTCATCCAAATCCATGAAAAGGATAACAAGTCTGAAACATTAAAATTGGGCGATTTGTAAATCTCAGATGGAAGATCAATTAACATAGGCATTGGAAACTGATCTTCTTCAAACCACCCTTTACAAGGGTTCCCAAATCCTTCTAAGATTTCAAAGCTTAATGATGAGAGTTCCTTTAGGGAAACCTTCTATGTCTTAAAGTGGACGAGAACCCGCGATCAAGCGCTTCTTCAAATTCTTGTACGCCCGAATGCTGTTGGCTGTATAGGCAATATGATGCCCATTGCTGTCTTTAAGTGCAGCTTTCACCTCTATATGATTTTCCGATGTGATCAGGCAAACAATTCCCCTTTCAGCACTTTACTCTAGCCTCTGGGGCAAGAAGCCAACAAATCGAGTACATTCTGAGGTTTAAGTCCATAAAGCAGCCTAAAAGGAGTCCTTTCTTATTACTTCGATTGACTGAGTTTTTATATGTGGAATTTTCAAGCTTTGGGGATAACTAGATCCCAGTGTCTTTGTACTCTCCACCGAGACATCTCTAATAATTTTCCCAAACTACGAATTACAACTTCCGTCTGACCGTCTGTTTGCGGATGGCCAAGCACTGGAATTGTTCAATTCAGTTTCAAAATTTTCTCCATAAAGTCCTCCAAAAGTGCCCCATAAACTTTAACAATCTTCTATCGGAACAATAGAAGTTTGAAACACCGATGTAAAAGTTCTCACAATCTCTTGAAAAAATAACTCAGCAATTGAACTGGCAATTAGAATGTCTTGAAAACAAATGGGATAGAATGAGCCATTTTAGGAGAATACGATGCGCCACTACAGACAAATAAGAATCAAATCCCTTTCCTGTCTTTGGAAGTCCCAAAACAAAATCCATACTCAGTGAACCCAAGTGCATCTAGCTCGGGTAAAGGAGTATAGTAATCCTAATATTTGCAGCGCACTCTTTCTGCGAGTAAATAGGGACTAGACCATCCGTTCCATACGGGACATTTTCTCAACATCTTTTCCGATCTATGGCCAATAATAACGGTCGGAAAACATCGCAAAAAGTCTTGTCTCTACCAAAAGGGGGTCCTCCCAAAACCATTTCAGAAAGTTCTCTTTGTAATGAAGTGATGTTTCGCAGAGTTAAAGACTGCCACCTTCCACACACCACCGCACGAAGGTGAGCATAGAAACGTTGTGAATAAAGGCGAGGCGCGACATCGGTATGACAGAACTGTCAGCTATACCTAAAGAATGACAGTAACGTACTAATCAGTGACCTTCTCAATCTTGCCAAAAACATGATATCTGAAATCATACTGGTTTTGTCAGTTCTTCAAAAACCAGTAATTTTGAGTGCTCAAAAATTGACAAAAATTAGGGATCTTCTCACTCAATGCATCAGCCACAAAAGATTAGATTGACACAGATTTATACTTTATGAGAAATTAAAGATTCATACAAAGGAAGAGACTCCACTTTAGGCGGAGAGAGTCGAACTTTATTCTGAGATTTTTTAGATTGCCTCAAAGGCCTACCAAGTCAGGAAAAACCACAAACTCATCTTAAATATATTCTAAGTAAATGTTAGCCAATCATCACGAATAGCTCTTACCAAGTGCAATATAACTCTAGAATCATAAGTTGAGTAAACAGCTGCTTAAGCTTCAAGACAACTTTTCCACTAAAAAACTCAAGAGGTCGCCCTCTTGGACTGAGAACCAGCTCCAATCCCTTGATCATGTGAAGCATCACATATACGACAATAAATAATTTCTCAAAATCTGGAAAGTTGCCAAGAATAGGGTGCTCTTACGTTTCACCCCCCATCAAAAAACTTGATTCATTTCAAATGCCTTTTGTGCAGAAATTTGTACACTCAAACCTTTCCTTCTTTCAATAGAATTCAATTATGGACTCAATAATTGAACTGACAATTTTTGAGGATAAATATCTCCTATAGAAAGAGGCCAAACATGAAAAGCTTCTAAACTTCTTTGAATGGGATTGGGGTTGCTAGCCATTCGGTAAATTGCCACGAACCTTTTCTTGGATCTGGTTTTTTAATCCTTCAGCAACACCAATATATCCCAAGAATACCACTTATCTACTGCATGGAAACGCATTTTTTTTTTAGGTTACTGTGCAGCTGCCTCTTGCAAGCACTTCTAAACACTTTGGTCGCAAAGTGTTTTAAATGATCTTCCTCGGTGCGGCTTATAAATCGAAAATGTCCAATCAAAAATAACAACAACAAAAGAATTCAAAGAAAGGTTTGATGTACATCTGTCATGACTTCTCATGAATGTACATTGTCATTAGAAAGGCCAATGACATTACTAACCATTAAATAACCCATCCGGTGTCTTGAAAAGCTGTTTCTATTCATACAAACATGCCTCATTCTTAATTGGTGATATCCAGTTTTTCAACTCAAAAATTTTGGAGAACACTTTAGAACCCGCTAAGTTGATCAAGCATATCCTCCATCTTGGTATTGGAAAGCGTATTATGATTGTAATCTTGTTATAGCAATACGACTAAATCTAACAACATCTCCAAGACCATCTTTCTTTGGTGTTATAAGGCTGGGCCAGGCACATGGACTTTTTACTTTCACGTACCAAGAACCTTTTTCCAATAATTCCTTAACCTGTCTTTCTATTTCAGCCCGCCTTGAAAGGAGGCATTTTGGTATGCAGGCAGATTTTGGTAAAAGCTGCTCCTGGTACCAAATCAATAGCAATCGTTGGATGCTTCCTTAATGGTGGCAAGCTTTTCGGTACATCTTCACTATCAGTCCTTGAATTCCTGGCAATAATGTTGAATTTCAAAGGAATATTCAACTGGATTTTCAACCTGGTCAGCCCTATTAGTTTGCTCAACTATAGGCATAACGTGATCCCACCGTCACTATGCGCAAGCTTGCAAATTCTTTGAACACTTAACAAGCCCATTTTAATTTACTAATTGCAGCTCCTCTATTTGCCTATTTGCCTTGTTTCATTCCTTGAGAGGAATGCCAAAGTGTACTTCTTGTTTCCTTGTAGAACGAATAAGATTAGGCCTTGTTTGTGGTCATATCATGAATCATACAACCAAGGTCCGTCCCACTAAGAATATGCCCACATCCATTGGAACTACATCACATAAGTGCTTCATCTGCCAGTCATCTCCCATTGTGAATGCAACTAAGCATTGAGATGTAACTGGTATTCCGATGTCCCTTTCCTTCAAAGCAACCTACTTTGTATGGATGAGGATGTTTTTGTTGTAGGAAGCTTTTAATTTTTCTACAGCCTCCTTTGATAATATAGTTTTTCCATACTTTCCTCCATCAATGACTAAATTACACACTTGCCTTCACAAAATAACACGGGTAACGGGAAATGCTACCCTCCTCCAA